GACCTAAAAGTATTATAGATTGTATAATATTTACAAAACTATTTAGAAAAATAACAGTTCTTATGGGTAACCAGCTGTGTGGATTAGTGACTAGGGTTGTGGACTCAGGAAAGTTGGGAGTTCGTTTCTAATGGAGGAAGCTGCAGCTCCAGTAAATAAGTTACTGAGACCTCCGGCTGTCTTTGTAAATTTGTTGTTATTTGATATACCTGGCTAAACAAAGAAATACAAGTATACACTTCTGGTACCACTCATGCAGCAGAAATGGTTCATATATAAATAATATTAACTGTTTTTTGACATTTCTATGCATAAGGGTCTGGTTTGCAAACAATTGTGGCTTGTGATGTAAAAAGAAAGGTATATATATCCGGTAATGAATAGGTGATACCCTTGCAATGAACATTTTATTGCATTTAGTGAAGAAGTTCATTACATTTACTGACTGTTTACCAATAATATGTATCACCTAATATACACTATAGACTTTATATAATACAGTATATACAGTATAGTGGTACATACCGTATACACAGACTATATAATATATTTGGCATTATTAATACAAAAAAGACAGAATTAGAATTATTTTTAGATTGTTCTGTTCCTCTCAGTTTGAAATAGCTTTTATTTAACACTCATTCTCATGATATACATATATGCATAAACATTAGGAGGAACAGCGTTGTAGGTTAAAATATGTGTCAAGAGTTGCAGTGAATTATAGGTATGAATATTAGCTCTTGTTCCATCACAAAGCTACAGGAGACAGAACTGTCTTCTGACTTTCCACTCTTTTTCTGCATGTAAAGTCAATTACCATTACCATGTGTGATATGCATATCTACGTCTTTCCCTCTGATCTGTCAATATTAAGACAATAGAAGCCCTGTAGTAAAAACAATCAAGAACAAATTGATTTTTTTATCTGCCTTCATGAAGTGTCCAGTGACACAGAACTGTAATAATATTTTCATCTGTGGGAGCGAGAGGTTACTTTTGAGAGAGCGACACTGTGTTTTTGGCAGACATCTAGTAGTACTTTTCTCATTTTCATTTGATTGCTGTGATTTTTTTTCTTCTTCTTCTTAAATATGTTTATGTGGGTTAGACTGTTTTAAGAAGATAAACTGCGTTCATAGTGAAACGGCTTCTTCTAAAGTCATTCCATAATAAAGTGGACTTCCTAAGCCTCATATTGTTCTTACTGTACCTTAGGTATGAAGATGTTCAAATTACATAGATATACTGTAGATATATAAAAAGTACTGTATATACTGTATAGCTTACTTAACCATGATATTATTTTCATTACTATTTTTCATAACAGAAAAACCACGAGAGGCTTGTTTTGACCCTGGAAATATCATGAATGGCACTCGCATAGGAACAGATTTTAAACTGGGTTCGACAGTGACGTATCAGTGTGACTCTGGCTACACAACTGTTGGACCTTCAACTATAACATGCATTATAGGGAGTGATGGGAAACCTGTCTGGGAAAGAATCCTGCCTACATGCAAAGGTGAAGTATGATCAACTATTAATACACAGTGTCACAGATACACAAAATAATACGTAACTAGTTAGATCTCTATTTGTTAATTAAATGTTCATATACATGTAAACTGAGAAATTAAAGGGGTCTTTGAGTAATATTTTACTGAAGAAAATATATTGATCCTTCTATTCTTTTTCAGTCTGTTTTAATTGTTGAATTAATCTATTTTATGAAATTGACAACTTTAGTTCTCTTTTGATATATAAATAATTATTGTGTGTGATTTTTACTTTTATCATTTTAGCATTTAGTGGGTTGAGAGACCCTCTGTTTCCTATTGCAGTAGTGCTGTATCATGGGAAGAACATCAAATGCATTATAGAACTGTTTTGTTTGTTGTTGTTTTTTAAGAGGAGTGACTTTCCACACAAATGCACAATAAACTGTCGCTGCCTTCAATGTGGAGCTTAATAATCTTTAAAAATAACTCAGACAAATGAACAACATTTGATTGCCCACAAAGGGACTAAGTAACTGTTTGAATAATATATGTGCATTATATGTTATAAAATATTTATGCTTTCTACGATTAACTTGTTGTGCATTTGCATAGTGCAAGTGCAGGCAGTGACTAACTGTCAGCTTGCATGTGCCCTGGGTGATCACTACTTAGGCAGGTGGCGTGTATTTCATTTAATGTCCCCCTGCCTGTGACAGCTAAGACAGCAGGTCAAATCTTCATAGACATTAGGTTTCTGCAGCACTATTTTTTTTAATTACAGTACTTGCCCAAATTTCAAGTATATTTACAAACTCATCACATTTCTCTGAAAACGATTTTGAAGTTGTGGTATCTTTCACTTCTTTCTTCCCAGAAAGTTCAGTATTTTTCTTAGGCATACAAGTAGTGTTCCTGTATATATTATGATGCTGTAAATCCATATCACAGCTTTTATAGGTTATATTTCCCCCTTTTGCTTTATTGTATTTATATTTATGGTGATGATCTTTGATAACAGCTCTGGACAGTGACATCACCCCATTTATACATTTGAAAAGTTTAAAGGCTAGTAAATTGTAAATTAGCCCTCTGAGTCACCTGACCTAGTTTCTAGTTGCATTGTTAATACTTGAGTAAATTCCACAGTGTTTTGCTTTCACTGTCAGGACAGAACTGGAATCATAGACAAACGTGTGCCTTAATCAGACTTGGGCAGGCTGTGCCTTCTCTTCCGTCTGCTGTAACAGGCTGGGTGGCAGCGAGTGCCACTCACACACTCTTTCCTGTCTGAGGTCTGGGCTGTGGTCAGAGCTCACAGACAGGTACCTGCAGGATAGCCACTAGCTCATGTCTGCATCGTTGAATCCCTCGTGGAGCCATAGGACCCTGCTCAGTTGCCCTAAACCACAAAGTTCAAACTGAAATCAAAATCAAAATAGTAACAGACTAATTTGTAAGGTAGGATATTAGGATATCTGATTCTATTCACTTTCAAAGCTCCCCCTCCCCGACCACCACGATGACCACCATTCCTTTGGTCTGGAAGACTGCAAGATTTACAGAAGAAAGGTTGTTTTCAAATGACTATCACTCTCTCCACAAATCAGTCTCACAAAAAAGTCTGAGTTCTGTTTTCCTTGAGCATTAGTGCAATATATTTTTCACCAATTTATTACAGCACTTAGACCACAGCGTTGGGCAGTAAATGTCCCTGGATGCAATGTGTCACAATTTATGTTGTTGTTTGACCCAGCATTCTCTTAAAATCCATTTCTGGTATATGATGTAGAGCAATACAGATACTATGTTGTAACGTACAAATTAGGGGGTTACTAACTGAACACCACTTCATTGCATTATGATGTGTTTTTATGCAAATTTTGTTGACCCCCTTCATGTAAATCAGCCTAATGGGATTTAAACTCTGTAACCAACCATTCTGTTGGATCTGACCTTTTTTTTTAATGTGGTTAGGTTTCTCTTGCTTAGGGAGCAAAAGATCCTGAGTTTACTTCCAGCCTGAGCATTTATTTGTCAACACTGCTGATATATTTGGCTCACAACCTTTTATTTTTTTTTTGTTCGAAGTAAAAAGGTACACTTATTGTTATGTTAGTAGTTATTATTGTGTGGACTTTGCTTTGTGTCACTTTTGACAGGAAACCACATATTAGTTATCTGTATTCTTAACCATTAGAGCACCAGTATTTGCTATTTTGTTACCTTTGACTTCCTGTCAGAGTCCAATACTTCATTCTGTCCATGCAGCCAAGAATCCTCGACCCAAACAGTGTCACTGGCCTGCTTGACAATGGGAACTGCTCCTGGATTCAATTTGTATTTTTTTTCTGATCCTTTCAAATGAATTAAAACATTTTAAACATTTTGATCTAGTGCATCTGAAATTTAACTCATTTGTAAGTGCTTCTACTTATATACTCTATGGATTTAGATGGATTTAGATATTAAAAATGAATTTTCTGAAGGTAAATTGTCTCAATTCTGAAATTGCTCTAAAAGTTTTAAATCTTGGGTGAAAGCAGATACAGTATAAGTGGAATAATTATATGACTATATAACCTCATTATACACATATATTTCTTTTATTACTGTAATTGTCATTATTAACTTCTTTCTAAAGTCCCAATTTAAACACCTGAAAATAGCTTGAAATGTAATTACAAGAGCCAGCATTTCATCATGTGCAGCTAAACCAGTTTTCTGTTTTCCAAGAGACACAAATTCTTTATTAATAAACAGTCCCTTTTCCCCGGCTCAATTTTTGTCCTGTGATCTTGCTCTCTGTTACCATGACAACCCTACTGGAAGTTTTTATTTTCCCAAAACAATGTGTGTTGAGTTGTGTGACACATACAAAACAATCCCTTGATTGCTTGGTTCATAAGCAATGATTACATTTTCACTAAGAAATTCAAAAATACAATTCAAAATGTTATGGAATGCAGTGCAGAGCACTCACAATAAATGAATGACCTCATTTTGGCAGTGACATTTCCATAAAATTAATATTTAATTCTGTTCCTTAATATTTAAGGTTTTTAGTGTGAAAAACTCTTCTTTTATTTAGTGTAGTTGTTTAGTCTTTAATCTAAAAATAACATGCATGTTTTGCACTGAAGTGAGACTTTTGGACATAGAGCAAACCTTATAATTCATTGCAACTACATTGTTCTAAACTGCATATAGTATTTAATATTGCCATATTTAACTGGCATAAAAGTAGTTTTTGAAAATATTGAAAACTGGAAACAAATAAAAGGAGCTCTTATATTTATGTACTTGTTCATTATTACATGCAGGACTGCATCATCTGGGAGGTCTGTTTTATTCAAATGACACATAAAAAAAACAGTCACTTGAGTCACATAACCAGTAATATTATCAAGGGAGAATAATATCTAAACTGGACTAAGTATCGAGCTGGTATTCCTAAGAAAATGGTAGGAGAAAAGAACTAAGGTGTGTGGAAAACCTGAGTTTTGGCAGATGAACAGGAGATTTGTGACCATATACAGTATAAGAAACTTATACTTATACTTATACTGCATATTATAAATGCTGATTCCCTAGAAATCCTCAAGGAGTAGGTTAAAGAGGTTCTCCAATCAAGAGCTTAATTGTAACACAATGAACAGGGTGGTATGCAATTTTTCATCTTATAACCTTTCAGTTCTACAAGTCAGGAAGGTGAAACTGCAGTTGAAAGGTGTTTGAAGGGCTGCAGGCATAATTGCCAATCACTGTATAGCCAGGGGAGGTAAAGTTAGCACTTCCGTTTCACACATGAATTGATCATGTCATCCTGTCAATTTCCAATTCAATAAATTCCTGCTCATGTTTGCCTTTCTATCCATGTTATCTTGCTGTAACAGTCAGTATGATTCTATCATTTGAACAGAATTGACAAATGATGTCCAGGTGCTTAAATGTTTGGGTTGACATCCTGGATTTTAGTAGCTCTGAGATAGTTAGCGGGGAGAGTGATGATTTCACACACACAGACCCTTGTTCTTCTTACATACTAGTAGATACTGATTTTGAATGCAAATTTTGGTCTGAGAATTTAATTAGGGGACATAGTGGTACATTTACGATGGGGGGATGGGAATATATTTTGCTTTAAAGGCATTCAGTAGGAGAGCCCAGGAGAAATAGCATGTCCAGAACTTACACTGGTGAAGTTTTGTTTTTTAGTCTAACCCAAAAAAAAAGTAATGCTGAACAATAAAAAGAGGAATAAACTGTAGGTCATTCTTCACCTTCTAATTCTATTTTTAAAAGGTTTTTTGAGTTTCAACCGAAAGACACATCTGCCTCCGTCTCTCTTTTTGACTGAGAGTGAACTGTAAGGGTCACGTGGGGAACGTTCAAATCAGACGGAGAGAGGCAGAAAGCTCAGTTTGAATTCTAACCTCCTCACTTGGCATGCGTACATCCTGTGTTGATGTGGCCAGCAAAGGGTTTTTTTTAGCCAAAATTAAATAGGCAAATTAGCTGAGTGATGACTTATCCGATAGAATTCAGAAAATGCATATAATCAAAATAGCATTATTAGATCCTCAATTAACTCCTGGAGTCAGTTTTCTTAATTATCTTGAAAGTGAGTGAAAAACTTGATGAGTTATTCTCGTTTGTGTTTTGTTGAAAATATGATTTTTTCCTCAGACAGGCCTGGGAGGCAAGGGGTCATTGAGTGTTTTATGAGCCAGTTTCTTTGCTTCCATCTAGAATACTGATGCCTTCTGAGGCACTCCCTTCAGCTTTTAAACAAAACTAATTAGAAAGGGGGTGAGATCCCTTTAAATAATAAAGGTTTTTTTTCACCCAAACAGGCCCTTTTATTCGTTTCCATAGTAACCAAAAGACTGTCTCAGTGCACTTGAATGAGGAATCCTGCTTGACTGTAAATAGTGCTGGTGGGGGAGGGGAAGTGTGGTGAGATGGCGCCCCACTGAGGAAATCCTGAAAAATAATACTGAATAGACTCACAGAGGTTTGTTTCTTTTTACTGCAGATGTTAAAAAATAAGATGTGTGGATGTGTGTGTTCGTGTGTGGTGGGGTGCGGCTGAAAGGCGCAGAGAGGCTTTCCTGTTTATTTCTGTACAAGATAGCGGGGATGTTGTCAGAAGCTTACTCCCAGCGAGCAGGCAAGCGGGCCAGGTGGCATGCACATCTGTTGTCACGATGCTTATGAAAGAGTATTGCTCACCGGGAGTTTGATCCAGAATTAAGCTTCAGAGAGCATGTACAAAAAATGCACAAATATAGTCAACATTTTAGCTTGTATAATTACTGTTGCTTTTATATTTCAAAGAAAGCATAGCTGCAAACTTTAGAAAGAGAAAAAAGAATTAGCACAGGGGAAATGGAAAAAACTTACAGTATAGCAGAACAAGATTTAAAAAGGCAGCATGCCAATAGGACTGTTGCGGAATTTCGCAGAGCTTATGTCTCCTTAATTCTTAATATTTTCCCATATCCACTGGTGTTGCGTTTAATGTCATCCTGTGATTGCCAACTGTTAACGAACGAGTATGATTAAGAATGAGGAGCTCTGTGCACACTCTTCCAACATGCCTAGTTCTCCGACTCCTTGGTCAGCTCAAGCACTGGGAGATGTGCAGTGCCTTACCAGAGAGGTAACCCCAGTGGTGCTGCGCCATCTGCACTCTGCCATGTGGGGATTCCCCTGTCTCATCCAGCTGCTGTGAACATCGACCAGATCGTAGAGCTCAACCTGCACTTCAGGAATATGCTGTACCTCCAGCGGTTCGACCATTTGAGAGACTAATTATTTAACGGTACATGTCTCTGGCATGGACCCAGTTGAAAGAACAAAAGTCCTTCACACAATAGAGTGGTACAAAGTTGTGAAATTATGTTGTTGTTACTCAGAGAAGGATAAGCTCACCCACGAAAAATATGGGAATGAGATCAAGCAAATATTACAAATTGCCTGCAGTACTGGGCATTGATGACATCATTTTTTATAGGATAAATGCTGGTTTTGACAAGAGCAGAAATTCTATTTTTCAAGGTCTACATGCTGTACATTAAACATGTCGGCACACAACATCAGACTACAGTACGGACATTGTTTGCTTTGGGTAGGGAGCAAAGTCTTATTAAACTACACAAACAGAAGTCCAGTGCACGCGTGTTTCACCTGCAGAAACTGAAAGTCAGAAAATATCCAGTAGAAAAGCTTTCATGATGGATTATTCTAATATTGTATTAGGTAGTAAATACAGTATTTCGTATAAAAAGCTTACAGTTTAGAAATTTGGAACCCGATGAACATAACTGTACCTTAGCATAGTGTTAAATTACCATTTTCATAGATGCCTCTGTGCTTAACTGTGAAATTCTGGTTTCTACAGGGGGCTTCATTGGTTTAATGGCTCATAACTTGGAGCCCTTTATGGAAACCAAGAAGAAAAGGTGATATGATCAAAGGTTTTGAATTGGTTTGATATGCAGAGGATGATAAGACAGGGCTGCTTCTTGACTTCAGGTTTATGCACTCTGTAAGGTATTGCAGGCAGATGAAGGTACAGACCTGAGGGAGCTAGCGCTTAGAGGCTTAGTATGCTGATGGTGTGCCAGGAATTTGAATTAAAGATTTTTTGTAGCCAGGACCAAGTGGATGAAAGGAACAGGAAAGGAGCAGAAAGATCATAGAGAGGAATCAACTGGTGGGGAGATTGGAAACCTGGAGAGATCTAAGCACCAAGAGTCAAACCAACATGACAAGGGGGGAAAGTTTAACTTGGTTCCTTTATTATGTTGAATAAGAAGCTTCCGTGACAAATGTGATTGGTGCTGTAGTTAATTTAATTTGAAGTCCTTGCGCTCTTAGCATTCATGTTATCATGCAATTTCAAGTGTCTTTTATATTTAAATATTAGGAGTATCTATGGAATCTAGCAACAATGAATAGATATAGTAATGTAACTTTGCCAACCAATGATTATTTTTCTTTTCTCATCTCTTTTGTTGGTGTCTTTCTGAAATGAAACCTTTTCTTCTGGGCAGCCTGCACATAGAACAGTGATGAAACATACTTTCGTTTTAAACTAATTTGATTTTTTCCTTGACCTATTGGTCTGTATGCTTACACAGAATTTTAATCTTTGTCCTAGTCCTAGTCTGTGAAACCTGCATAAAGTTATGCATTTCCTCCTTTCACTTTTTTCAGTCCTGCACTGCATGTTTCAACATTTTGTTAATCACATATAAAGTCTGTGTATTGTCTCTTATACCATGCAAAGGTTTAAAACAGTCTGTAAATCAATAAATGTTTTTTTTGTTGTATTCAGCTCCCTGTGGAGGTCAGTATACAGGCTCTGAAGGAGTGGTCTTGTCTCCAAATTATCCTCACAACTACACTGCTGGTCAGACATGCCTGTATTCAATCACTGTATCCGGAGAATTTGGTAAGTGAATTGTAATTCAGCTTTTCTTATCATACTGTATATGGACTGATTTAATTGAATTCGCATATTTACTATTCGTTTTTCTGGCTTTCTGCCTTTTGAACCATCCAGTCATTAGCAGTGCTTCAAATAAATATGCTGCTAAAATATGATAAATTAAAGACAGAGATTTTGAAACTCCATAATTCAATTTTTCAAGATGCAGTATGAATCTGAATTGATTTTAATTGGGATACTACTAAAACAACAATGATAATTATAAAACTTATTTTTTTGGTCATAAAAACATTATGTTCGCTTTGTTTTAAAATAATTGCCATTGCCAGTGGAACTTTGCCCAAGTCAGGGAACTCGTAAGTTGAGCTGTATGTAAGAGATACTGAAGGCTTCTGAGGAAAAAGGGCAAGATATACTTAGTACACAGGATACCTTGCCTCTCCAAGGATTTAATAAAGCTATTTCTCACAGATTGGCCTCTTTCACCTTCTCAAGGCTGCTGGTGGGACACACATTTTCTTTCTCTCTCGAGGCCTTAGAACATGCATGTACCCACGCAGGCGAGGAAAATGTAGTCCCTGGAAGCCTGTGACTGCCCCTTCCTGGATTCTGTGTTCTTCAGTTCTGATCTTCTTGCAGTCTTCCAAGAGCTTATAGAGGCTGTTTTGGCTAGGCTGAGCTACCTTTGGTTTATTTGAAAAAATCTCTCTTTCGTAAGAGACTAGCCTGTGCGGCATATCTTCCTGGAGAGAGCTCTCACCTCTCTCTCTCTTTCCCCCCATTCCTCTCTGGATTCGATCAGCTACCGCTATTGTTTTTCTGTCGTTTTTTTCTGCCTTGTTTTGTTCACCAAACTCACATCACCCGTGTCTTTTTTTTCTATTTCAGTGTAAGACTCCCTCTGAGAACAAGGGGGATTTTAACGCAGTCCCTTTCATTCACCTTCAGCTGTTTCTTGCTGTTTCACAGGCTCTCTTGACATGTGTGATAGACAACCTCTGCAATGGCCTGATACGTCTGCCTGCATCCTTTCACAAATCTCCATAATATTCTACCCCCTTCTGTGCACTGCTTTCTCTCTTTGGGAACCATAAGCCAGTGCCTTAGTCTCCCCTAGCCTTCGGAAAAGCCTTTCACAAGGTCAAGCATACAATATGTGCTCTAGTTTCCATCTCCACTACTTCTCCGTCACAATTATTTCTCTACCTGACCAGTTATTTCTGTGTTTCAGCTTTAAAGGCTTAGACCATGCTCTGTCCAAACTGTGTTTGTCCCACTAGATTGCATAAGAATTGTCTTTGGCCAAGAAAAGTGCTAGCTTCTCCCCCAACCTGTGGGAGTACTGGCAACATCACAAGAGCTATTCCAGGGCACTCCTCTGTCTGCCATTTGTGGAGCTGCAAGTTTAGCTACTACACAGCTTTAAAAGATTTTGTCTTAACATCACAAGTTCTTTATCATCCACTGGATCAATGGTGCCTGAGATTGTTTGCTGATCCGTGTCGTTTGAGGTGATAGAGTTAGTAGCACTTCCCTGCTGTAATGGCTTCCTTCAAGACAGCTTAGGTAAATTGGCAATAGTCACCTTTTGTAATGAAAGGGTACAGAAAGTTATGGATGAGACTTGGGTTCCCTGAAAGGAAGAAGCAGCCACCGACCAATAATGTCTTTCTAATAGATGAACATGGGCTCACAAGCAAGAGAGGCTAAGCTGACAATCACTGAGTTACTGAAAATCAATAGACTTTAATGAAAAATGGGTAGCTCATGATAAAATAACATTTCACTTATTATTGACTCTTTACATAATGGTAAATGATGGTTATTTTCATACCCATTAATGAATGAAGATGTCTGAAGACAAACACTACAAAGGCAAACAAAACTCAATAACTGTGATATCATTGAAAAAACAGTCGATGGGAAATATTTGCTGCGGAAACCTCCCTTCTTACCAATAGTGTGGTCTCAGGACTTGCTGCTCCACACCTACCCAAATTGTTGTTTGGCATTTTAATTTACCTGTGACTGGCTTTTCTCCATGGTCTTGAGGAGATCCATTAATCCCAGGAGACTATACATCTGTATCGGATGATCTTAGTCACATTGCCTCAATAATCAGTTAACCAGCTGCCCTTGAGACACTTAGCTTCTCCAGGTTCTTTGTGTTGGTTTGGGTCTTCTTTATGGTTAATCACGTTTTTCTTCTTCTCCTCATAGAGATTTTCACAAGTACATTCTGAAACAGTGCCTGGTCTCAGTGGGATTCATTCAGGATTTTCCCTATCCTGCACAGTTCACTATTGCTACCTGCCTTTATCTTGCTCACCAGGCTTACACGTCCCTGGGTCAAGCTCCATGTCTTGAAATGACCACCACTGAGTCAAGGCTCTTACAATCCCTTGCCCTCTTGAGGAAAATAACTTATCCTCTTTCACCAAACTGCATTAGAATTAGAGAAAACAATATTTTCTCTTTTTGGTGTTCTTTTTCGATGTCAGCCTTGTTATAGACTATGGCTGCAACCTCCTTGTCTGCTCCTATTTCTATCCCACAGGTACCTCCTCAGTGGTACTTATACAGTTAACTGGCACCCCTCCCTCCCTGTCAATGCTGGCCCAAGTCATGGCCAGACCTTTTTCTTTATCTGCACTTACAAGACCTTTCCTTGTTAGGATTTGGAGCAGGCTCTTTTAAATGCATGGCTCATTTATACACCTCCCAAGGGATTACGTACTTGTTGTCCATTCTGCTTGAGTCTTCTCTTAAATGCGCACTCCTATGTGAAATGTCACAATGCTGCTTGAGTGTCCGTCTCCTGTAAGATAGCTTGTTGCCCCTGCTGGTCTCACTCATCATACAACCTGTTGCACTGTAGCCCTTTTTCAAATCAGAATAAAAATGAAGAATCATTGTTCTACATGTATATCATTATTCATAAGAAATATCAATTAAGCAACTGCATTTAATTTTAAACAGTATTATGCACATAAAATTCACCCTTTTCTAGTATTACTGTATATGCAAAGTGTCTGCAGTTAACTTTTGTTACGTCCTATTACCAAAGCTGAAGGTCTTTAAGTGTAGATACTGAAGCAAGTAGGGAGAATTAAAATGTAATAATTAAATGTACTTGGGGATATCAAGGATAGGTCCATCAACCTTATTAAAAAATATGAAACTGCTACAGGAAGGCCGCTCTACTTTTAACCATGTTAAAATGTAATCTTCTAGCTTTTTGTAAACACTTTTTAAAATTATTGTATAATGCAGTTGTATCATACAGGCTAATATTAAACATTTAATTTGCCTCATAATAGTTGTAAAAGATGCAGTTCTGCAGGAAAATTCTGACCCCATTTCCTTAAAGTATTTTTCAATGAAAGAGAAATGACACACAGTATGCATAAAGCTTCTTATTGTAACTTTAATTGCATGAAATGTTTGTTTTTGTTCTGATCAGTCTTGTTATGTATGCCTGGGGGCCCTGGAACTTCCCCAGTCAGTTTTAATCACCATGTGATTTCAGCCCAGCAGGGGTACAGAAAGGCAGCACACCTAATCGAAATCACTGTGAGCACTGCTCCTCATTGACAATGGCACACCTTAATCCTTAGTGGGGTACTGGAAAAAATCTCCTCTGCGTATAGACTCCATGCAAACAATATTAAAGTGTAGATATTTTTTGGTTAATATTATTTGAAGTTTTTTTTTCCTTTTTTTGCAGAAGGCTGCTGATTCTAGTGTGAAATTCAGAATATTTAGGGCCTTGACTCAACTTCAAATTGAGTTCATTCTGAGTGTTTATGCTTGAATTGCCAGTTTCATTCAGTGCAGCAGGGAAGTTTACACCACCTCATCGTACCCCAAGATGATCTTGTTTTATTGAATTTATGGTCCAAAGAGCAGGGTGAAGGTTTCCCCTTAAGTACACTAAGTAAATAGAAGTAATTGACTCACAGTTAAAAACATTTTCCTGGACTAGAGTAAAGGCTTAAAACTCCAAACATTGGGGTCTGGAATGCAGCAGGTTTTTTATCCATAATCCGTACATGATAAATTTAAAACTGAGAAGATGATGAGGATTTAAAGAGGTGTACAAAACCTTTTAGATTTTGGAGTCAAATGGTCTTGATTGGGGAAACTTTGGTCTAGTACTGTACATTTTAATGCTCCATTTTTTATTTAGGTAAAATTCTCCTGCTAGTTTATTAGGTTAGCTAATCTGCATTTATGACTCCTCGCATTTGAATGACAGATGTAATTGCTTACAGTAAGCATACAAACCTAATCTCTGATTAAATACACAACTATTATTGTCATGGAAAGAATGCTTTAACAAAACAACACACAATAAGCATGACAAAATGCTGAAGAGAGACGATTTGTAGGGACAACATATAGTAGGGGGAGATCCGTTACATGTTATATAACTTAGAGGAGTCATTTCATTAGCTTTTCAGAAAAAGAAACTGCTTTGGAAATGTTGAGTGTTCCGGTTCAACTGAATTTTCAGTAGTCACTTTCAGTGAAATGACATTTTATTGTTTTTATCTTCAGACAAATATAAAGATAATTTGAAATGCAAAATGTTTAATTGTATTCATCCTATTCTGTCTTCCCAGTGGTGTTTGGGCAGTTTGCCTACTTTCAGACAGCAATGAATGATTCAGTTGAGCTGTTTGATGGTGCCAGCCAAAATGCCAGACTCCTGAGTTCCCTTGCAGGAACTCATACAGGTAAATAACAAATATAAAGGTAAATAATGTCCAAGCATTCTTGGAAATTCTAAAGCCATAGGCAAGGAACTGTAATAACATAGTGTATAATTGCAATATGGAGCTGGTCAGGATAGTAAGACAGTTTGGTGTAATATAATACACACTCAGCTCGAATGGCTCATGAGGTAAGGCACATGACAGCTTTGGGAATTCGTAACCGTCCTATTTTCTGGTTTTAAACTATCCTATTTCACATGAAGCATTGAGAAACCTTTGAAAATGTATTGATAATGATGGAATTTTCATTGGTTTCAGTATGTTCCTTCATTACCAATCACTGGCAGTAGGACAGGTGTAGAATATGCTGGTGCATTTTTGCAATTTAGTCTTTTAGCCTGCCTGTTCTCAACTTGCATACAGTATGTTACTATAAAGCAAGCTGTTAATTACATAGGTTAAATATGGAGATTAAATTCACAACCCTGATGGGTCAAAATGGGTTAAAACGGGCCCAGGTGTAGAAGTCCATTTGAATTTACATCACCATACACATTTACTCCTTCATTAATTAATGCTTCTTATCCTCTTAACCTAGTTTATGTTCAGTTCCATTTGTATATTCTGTATATTTATGCAACAATCTAGTTAACATTGCTAAACAAAAAAAGAATGGAATTCTGAAGAGCAGCAGATAAGCTCTGCACCAAAATCCACACAAGAAAACAGTATGTTTTCCTTGAGCTAACCTGTTTCTGTGAATGTGGAAGAGAATTCCAAAAATCAAATTATTGCTTAACATAAATTTAATTAGCAACATTGTTTTGACAAATGTGTTTGTACTAAACTTTTAATCACATTCTTTAAGCATTTAAATCCTCATTGCTTCCTTTGTGATTTGCAATTGTGTTTTGAAACCCCAATGTTTTCATCATTCAGTAAAAGGAAGGCTTGAAAGGTTACTTTGTCTGCAATTTGCATCTTTCTTACACACTCTAATAACTTTGTTTAATAACTTGACCATTTTGTGCAGGAATAGCTTAACTAAGGAAGAGTACAGAAACAGCAGGCCTGTCCTCTCTCCACCATCTCTATCAGATCCTGCACAGTAGATGCACATCCCCAGGGACAGTCAACATGGGAAGCAAACATCATGCTTTTTTATGTGCAGGTGTGAGCAACTAAGAGTGATTCTTTCCAAGGCCATTAAAATTGGTGCTGAATATGGGGAGAGCACATTCAAAGTGACAGGCTATGCCATATGTCATTAAATACTTATGAATTTAAGGTCACAAAATTAGACCAGGACCGGCCTACTTTCAGAAACAAAATTCCCTTTTTTCTGTTTTATAGGGGTTTCTGAGAGGACCAACATGGCATTTGTGCCATTAACATAACATCTTTGTATCAAAAATCTAATATTTTATATTTCTTTGTTCTTAATTTTAGTTTTCTTTTCAAATGGGAAATTAATGTTTTCTCTTGAAAGAAAGCAGCTGTAATTTCGGTCCACCATAATTCACGATGATGGTGATATGTTCAGTGTAAGGCATTTTCCTGGGATATTGAGTAAATGGGGTCTGTTCCATTCCTGCTGATAAAATGTTTTGTGGCCTTCAATGAGTTATATGCTATATGGTTTTCCAGTTGCACTGCTCAGCTCTTATTATTTTAGGTACACTCAGTGTTAATGCACTAAATATTGCCATTGCAGCAAAATGTGAGTTTCACTGATGATTTCTAAGGATGAAGTAATGACTGCTTCACCAGTTGTGCTCCAAGTGCACAAATACATTCTTTATTGCGCAATAATAAAGGGGTACCATATTCAGAGGGACAGAAGCAGCGTGAAAAGGGGACATGACTAGAAAACAGGCAGTCCCTTACAGCAACAATTCTTCACCCATGAACTCTCAAACATGAGAAGCCCATTTTATTTTATTCCTTTTATTCCCAGAGGAGAGGCTGTGATATTGGGGTTTTCTCAGTGCAGGATTTCAATCCACTGGGGATCCGTCCTCTAAAGAGCTCCCTGTCTCCCATCACTCCTTTATGACCCCTGCAGGCTCACGAGGGGAACAGCACCCTATGGTGCTCACACACCCTGCCCCCACGCAACCCCTGACACTGACACACAGACCTGCACATGAGGCCACTACACAGGGAAAACATACGACTATAGCATGGAGGACATACAGTATGTACAAAAGCAAGTCCTTATATCTTTCACCTGTTACACTATTGTGCCTTCTGTTTTGGCAGGAGAGACCTTGCCCTTAGCCACATCCAACCAGATTTTGCTGCGATTCAGTGCTAAAAGTGGTGCATCTGCCAGAGGTTTCCACTTTGTTTACCAAGGTATGTGTAAGTGTTCATTACTGCACCACAGAGCTTAGCGCATGAGACAAATGGTGCCCGGGGCTTGCAGTTGACATTTATGCTTGAATTAAAACTGAGCTTTTGTTCTAGGAGGGCCCATATAAAGATGTTATATTTGTTATGATGTGCCACAGAGCTCTGCTTTAAGCTCATTCCTCAGAATTAAAAATGAACACAGTTCACAGGTGTCCAGCCATGTCATTGCTTTGCCTTTTTATGTGAAAGTCCTAACCAGTCACCACTGCTAAGCCGCTGACCCCTGCAGTGCTCAGCTCAGCTTTGAGACAACATGCCCTTACCTCGCAGTGCACCAGCACAGTGAGTACAGGCACTGTGGTGTGAGATGGAAAAAGGAGTTTCTTCCATCAATGCTTGAGAGCTCACTAGCCAGTTTTGCCTGGTTACCTTTCCACATTTTGTTTTTTTTTTCCTTAAGCTGGTTTGGTTTAATTCCTTACTTTTTTGGACATAATATATATATATAGCAGCCTTGCGTAGAAAATATCAAATGTTTATTTCCTCTATGCAATTATACCAAGGTGTAGCATTTAGCACATATTGAGAGTTAATGAGTGAGTGCATTTAAACCTACTGGGAAATTGATGTCTTTTTTTTTACTATCTCACTTTGCCTGAGTGGATATAAAAAGAAGTGTCGTCAATGCAATAAAGCAAGAAGAGTTCAAGACATATTGCACTGTCATGGTTTTGGTATTCAAACAAGGAGTAAACGGCAGAACTATAAAAACAGAGCAAACCGTAACATTTATTACAGTCTTGAAATAGATCAGTCTGACTGTTGCAAGGAAAATAACACCAGCTGATCTCAAAATAAATTTCACCAAACAGACATTTACACAATTGCAAGGATTTTAAACACGTTAAGAAAGTTTCCACTGCACCTTTTCAGTTTTTTTAAAGTTGTCAAAGCATGTAAAATAAAGAAGAAACTGGTGAAGGGGAAGATAACAAAGGTTTATTGGTATTACTTTTATTATGTTTAAATGAGAAAATATTGATAGATAATTATGGCTTCTGTACGTATAAAATATTGCATGACAAAAAACAAGGGAGTCGCAGTGGCGCAGTGGTTAGCATTGCTACCTCGCAGTGCTGGGGCCCTGGGTTTAATTCCTGGGGTGCTGTCTGTGTGGACTTTGCATGTTCTCTCTGTGATTGCATGGGATTCTTCTGGGTGCTACTGTCCAAAGACATACTGGTGGGTTAATTGGCTTCTGGGAAAACTGGCCCCGGTGTGAGTGTGTGTGTCAGTCTGTGTGTGCCTGGCGATGGACTGGCCTCCTATCCTGGGATAAGCTCTGGCTTCTCCGTGATACCCTATATTGGATAAAGCTGTTAAAGATGGATGGCTAAAAACAAGAAATACAAAAGTACGTGTGGATGATTAATTTAGAAAGTCTTGTTGCTTGCCATTTAGTTGTATAAAGTGGGCAGCAAAATCATAAAACCCTGCTGAATGTCTTGATAGAGCAAAACGGTGTGTCTTGTAATATACCCACTGGGTACAGAGTCAGTAATTTGATAGCATGCTGTGGCAGCATTGACTGCAATGAACAAACAGCCAGAAATATTTTTTTTCCCTTTCCCACGGGCTATGGGAAATGGTTCCAGTGAAGTCAGAGAAAGAAGTTAAATGTTACATATAACCAGCACCCTCGGGTGTTTCTGTTCATCACTCAAGTATTGTTATCAAGTATTGTTATACCTGTTTTTATTTTGATGGTAGAATTTGCTCTTTGATTTCAATGTAAATACTGAATCTATTTAAGTAGTGCAAAACAAAATTAGTTTTCATGAGATCCACAAAATCCAACAATATGTCTTAGTTTTGGATATTTTTTGTTGAAAGGGTATTTCAGTTTTATTTTCCTACCTCTTAAATTAATTCCTTGTGACAAAGGTACTGGACGATAAGTGTGCAACTGAAAGAAAAAAAATCTCTTTTTGGGGTATTTATTATGTATGAATGAACTGTGAGTCAATTTCGAAATTGTTTTAAAAAAAACTTATCTCTTAGTATCCGTCGTGTGTGGTCTACAGTGTGTGGCCAGTCTGTTTTGCTTTAGATCATGTTTCTAAGATTCTAAAGACTCTGTTTGACCCCCCTACAGCTGTCCCTCGCACAAGTGACACTCAGTGTAGCTCTGTGCCAGAGCCCAGGTATGGAAGACGCATTGGCTCCGAGTTCTCCGCGGGGTCCATAGTTCGCTTTGAGTGCAACCCCGGCTATTTCCTGCAGGGCTCCAAAGCAATTAAGTGTTATGCTGTCCCCAATGCCCTAGCACAGTGGAACGACACCATTCCGACTTGTGTAGGTAAGTATCCTCTAAACATAGTCACGAATGGTTTCAGTTCCCGAGTTATGTGTGGTGATACAACAGATCTCAAAACTATCAGTGAGACATGTTTTCCAAGCCACAAATATTTTACAGACACTTGTAATGCATTTTGGATTAAATATTAATTTGTGTTGGGTGCAGTATAGTTTTAATTACATTCACTTTTATGAGCATATATTTTTTTAAAACTTTGTATTTTAAAGTGTTGGGCCCAGAGGAGTTTGTTTAGTATTAAGATCTGCAAAATTCTGGAGTAATAAAAGTAGGTGCTAATTTAAGCATAGAAATTCCTGCCGGTGTAAATAGGTCTTAATGTCCTTTATGTGTTATTGAAACTTACATTTTATCTTCCTAATAGATTTGTTGGATTGAAATTCAAAATGGCATATCAAAATTATTGAACCTCACTCAGCCACAAGCACTTATACTGCTAGACATCTCTGCTTTCTTCAACACAAGAGGCTTTTATTCCCAAACATTTCCTGAACATGGGCCCATTTTTGTTATTCCTTTTGAAACTGGAATTCCTTTCTGCTGCAGTAAGGCCTGACAACATGAAAACAAAATGGAACATTATACATGGTCACTATTATTATCTGCAAGCATCCTGGGAGAACCATCTTTTGATTAACTTATTCATAGCTTGGTTTGATTATAAATAACCTTTGTTGCTGTTTTTTCATTGCAGACTTTCATTCTGTAAATGAAAGACAAAACAATCAACTCACAGGAGAGCTCTGTGTAAAGGCTTCATTATGACTTTGATTTACTTCTTTGTTCTGCCTTAGTTCCATGTAGTGGAAACCTTACTGAAAGAAGAGGCACCATTCTCTCCCCTGGGTTCCCTGAGCCCTATGGTAACAGTTTGAACTGTGTGTGGAGAATCACAGTCACTGAGGGAGCAGGTATACAGGCGAGTATCAAAGGAACAGGGGAAAGCTCATCAAAGCTAGAAAGCTGATCTGTTTCAAAAGTGTTTCTTTCAGAATACTGTTGCTTTAAAACACACACCTCAACAGTGAAGTAATCAATAGATAAGTTGTAAGAGTGTCTGATATTAGTTTATATAGGAATTTAAGCTTGCTATTATTTTGAATAGACCATTTACTTTATGGTGTTGTAAATATGCTATTTACTGGAACAGCCTTGTTAATTGTAAGAAGGAAATGCTGCATTACCTTAAGTAAATAAAGGCATTAGTGGAAACCTCATCAGACATGCTGCCCTTTTAAAATACAGTATTTAAAATACTGTAGATGCTCTGATTCACTTTCTAGCCAGGTCCAAGACTATACATTGAGTTTATTTTCCTGGATGGCATTTTTCATATTTTCAGTGAAAGAGTGAGATTAATTAAACATAATTTCTATCCATTACTTTGGCTTAGATTCAAGTCATCAGCTTCGCCACAGAGCATAACTGGGATTCCCTGGAAATCTACGATGGTGGTGATATGGCAGCACCAAAGCTGGGGAGCTTTTCAGGTAGGGTCATCCTCTCACTCCACAGTGCCTTCCTGCTTCGTATATCCCACATGGAGACAGCAGTGTAAAGCAAGGCTCCACAGGTGGAACGTTGTGTTTTCTTTCTTCTCTTTTCAGCAGGGAATAAACCTGTTACTTGTTCCTTTGCAGCCTGTGCATGCTGACGCAGCTCCCCACCTGAACTACATTTATCTATCCACCCATTTCCTAACTGCTTTATCCAATACAGGGTTGTTGGGGAACCGGAGTCTTACCTGGCAAGCACAAGGCAGGATACTTTCTGGACGTGATGCCGTTTGCAGACATTTATAATGGCATGAATCACTGACTGATCACAAATACAAAATAATTAACCTTGGAATTTTTTTATTAAACCTCTACTTCGTTGTAATTGGAATAGAAATGATGGTAGAGAAATATGTTACCAATTGCGCTACATTTCTTGAAGTTCATAATGAAAGACTGAGAGGAAAATAAGGCCCCTTTTCTCCCAATCTTCCGTCACTGAAAATATGATCTTTACTTCTCTGAGATCACAGCTCAAAAATACTCCACCATCCTCATTCTACTGCTGTTACAGTTCACTTAACGGGTTCACGTTGGGGTGGTGTGGTACAGGATACCTTAGTCATACAGTCAAGTGTCACCACTTTTATAATGCTGCATAAAGCATTGTATTCAAGTTACACAGGGTATGTCTGTAACTACTGCAATTTTTTATCTTGACTGTTTTTTGAGATTCACTGCATTATGGGATAGTTGGTCAGAATGTCATTGACTGCAGCCTTGCTAGGAGTAGTTTTATTTTGTATGAGTAAGTATATTATTAGAATATCGTTCATGTTGAAGGTCAGTTTATATTTAGCTCTAGGCTTTGTGGAACTGCTTTTTTAGTTTATGATGATGTATTTTATTATATATCATATAAATATATTTAAGCACTTTGAGAAGCCACCTTTAAAGGCACTATATAAAATAAAGTTTTTTATTATTATTATTATTATTATTATTATTATTATTATTATTATATGGATAACACTTTGAAAACAAAATATAGTAACTTGCTAATCAGTATAGCCACTTATTTTTGATGTCCCTATTAGTTAATGACAAAATTGGATTCTCAGATCCGATCTTCACAAATGTTACTGTAACAATCGTGGAGCCCAAACACCAGACTTTTTGCAGAGTTCCCTGTTTCCATCGTCTTCTGTGTTCCCTAAGGCTGTGAGTGTTGGGCTGCAGTAGCATGCTATCTGTGAACTGGCCCTGCTCTGCAAGTTAAGTCACACAGCATCCACACTGGATAGACAGAATGTGAGTGGAGGAGCCCCTGATGATTTAGCTTGGACAAATTGAGAGCTCTTCGATGTGCAGACGGGAGATTAATAAGGGGCAGGATTCACCTGCTGGGAGACGTCCAGAAGAAGCTCAGAGCTAGTGTGCATCTTCTGTTTGTTGTAATTTATAATAGCAGCAATGTGATTTCATCTCGTTATACTTAAATAGCTCCCATTCAGCTGAAATACTTCTTACATAACTAAAACAAAGCTTCCTTTTTTTCCTTTAATACAATTTCTGTTTCCTGGGGAGCCATTTAAATGGGGCTCGTTCTTCAGCAGAAGTGACATAAATTGGTCACACGGAGCATTTCAGCTTGGGCAACTTGTCAGAGGACTGTTTTACATGGAGAGTTTCTCATAATTAAAAACAGAACTACTGAATGAAATCTTATAATGAAAAAAAGATATACTAAACCTAATTGGTACCATACATAACAATACCTTACATAAGCTTGAGGGGTTTACATCAACAATTTAATTGCCTGGTAGGAGCTGACCCTTACCTATGATTAATTGCACATAAATAACAAAAACAGATTCATCTTCTGTTTTAGTGCATTTTTAATTCATTCAGAAGTGCTAATAGGTTGTTTGTTATACTTTTCTAAAGTTTTATTTGAAATACCTAAAATGAAGTGTTTTCTGACTCAGAAGTACTTAAATACTCAGTGAAGTAAAGAAATGTTATTACACCTCAGTGGAATAAAACGTTCTCTCCTTATTTGTCATTTTCAAGCAATTTTGAAACATATCTACATCTGTTATATGCAGTGTGTTCACTTAGATTTTATTGTTACTAATCTGCACTGTTTTCTGAATCCTTTTATGGACTCATACGATTTGCATTCTTTACATTTTCAGCTGTTGCAGTCACTTGTTTCACAGCCTTTGTACAGATCTTTTAAACTTTAAGATATACTGCATATCATTTTGAATTTTATAATTTCTCTTAACTTTATGGAAGAAATTTTATACAAAGAAACCACACTTAGTTATATTACATTTGTATCTGTAATTACCCCTTTGTAGACCGTTTGTTCCTCATTAGCTTCATATTGAAGCAACTACAGCATAGGTACTGAAAAATAAAGGGTGATGAGTGACATGCTGTATCCCTAAGTACCTGACGTGTCTGCCATTAGAATGTTAACACTTAAGACCCAGAATAGTTAGTTAAGCATGAATGATATGCTAGCACTTATACTAGCACGATGGACAAAACTTGTAAAAAGGCTGACAAGGTGCTTTTTACCTTTCTTCAGTAATACGTCTCTCATGTGTCACTAATGAGGCATGTTATAGGGATTTACAGTATTCAGCAAGCTGTGTTTCTGTACTAAGGTTAGTAATACTTGTGTTATAGGTGTATCATATTCAGTGTTTTCATTTTAGCATAATTTTTTGGTTTCCTTTTCACTAGAATCTTGTCACATTTGTTCCACAGTAATCTAATTAGTTACCAGCAATTAAATAAAAAGATGCAGCTAGTTCAGTTGCTTTTTTATGAAGAAGGCTTATATAATGGTTTAAAGAATGAATTTCCTTGGTATTTGACATGTTTACAGAAAGCATTACAGTCATCCAAAGAGCTGCTATTCAGGAGATTATTTCAATTAATAAGATAAGCGCCATGAAGACATCTTGTCTAGCTCAGCTGTTTATACTTAAACACATACAAATGCAAATTGTTTTATTTCCTATTGTTTATATAATGCTGATCAATTAACCTATCTGATATTATCAAAGGTTAAAATTTGTCTATAGGCAAGTTAAGTCAGCATTAGCTAGAAATTAAATCAGCTTTTTGCACTCCTTGTTGTCTTGAGTATGAATTGAGGAAACTGTGTGACTAGATATAGATAAACTAGACTAGATAGATAGTTTACAAGCTTGCAAATAAAAGGTACAAGGGTCTACTAGTTTTAATCCTACTATAGAAATGGCAGAGTGAGGAAATGTTCTCACTAGAGCAGTTAAAGTTAATCCATTCATCATCACTAAACACCCGTAGTGCTGGAGGATGGATCACCTCAATACTTGTGACTTGTCAAATATGTCCTGCCCAATTTTTAGACTATTCAGTTGGCTGCTAATATGTGTCATGGCAGCATTTCAAGTAGTTAAAAGACCAGTGAATAAAAAACGTAATGTTTAAAATCTCTCAAACTTTTAAAGAAGCATTTTTCTTTGGATATCCTCCAGAGCATTATTCCTGTCTTCAAAAAGTCAAAAAGAAAATTAATATCTCCCTTTCAATGTAATCTTTTAGGGAAGAGCTGGTCTGATATTGCAGATGTTGTTAAAAGATTTGATGCTGTGGCATAGTAACAATGTGCTTGGTGAATAAAAAATGACTAAACAATCAGTATGCATTTTCAAGGGTCAGAATGACCCGACCTTAAAATGTCATTGGAGATCAATAATACAAGATGTATATGTTTCAGACAGGATTATTCTTGTAATAACATCTACCTCAAGTTTAATGTTAACTTTTCTTAACTGTATCTTAATCTTTGGTACATCTAATGTACAACAGGTAAAACTCTGAAAAACACTCATCCAAATGTAGTCCCTCTCAACAGTTGTATATTTTTTTTTCCCTTGAGAAAACAAAATATGCAATATACAGTATGTTCCACCTATATTGCTAAAATATTGATTTTTATATCTATTCTGTATAATAAATGTGTGTGCTCAAGTATTTTTAATTGGAGAATCTGACTTAAATGCTGATTACATAAAATTGTTCCCTTAAGATAGAAGGGCACATTAAGTATTGTAGATTCATTAAAGATCTATAAATGGATGTGTCTTCTATGCACATAGTTCAGAGTTTAACAAGCAACAAAATTCAACATTAATTGAAAATGAGGAATTCACTGACTATTTAAAAATATATTGCCATTGGGCTTTCATGATTAATTTATTAGTCTAAGTCTTAAATGCATTATTATCAATTTTGCATTTTTTAATGCATTAATTTCACCCTTTAAATATAAAAAGCATATACCAAATGTAATATGCTTTCCATACCTAGATGCTTTCAAACCATATTCAGTATAAAGATTCCGGTAACCTTACATTTCATGTACAAATTATTAGTTATTTTAGGTACATATTATTATAGATAATGTTTGTTAAAAAAACTTTTTAAAAGTTGTGGTCAGTTTTTAGCTTTAAGGAAATTATTTGCCCAGATATTACTAGCACATGTGAGCCTTAGAATTCACATTTACTTTTTTCAAATTCTTCATCACTATGTGTGTCATGATGTGCAACTGGCCTTATCAGAAACAAATCTAGTCACAGTATTAAGACCCACTTCACAATGTCCTGTACCACTGATGAGTAATTCACAGACTAAATGCAAATGTAAATTTTAGCCCAGAGGTACTTGATAGTCTTTGTAATGCAAACAAAATGTGCAGAACATATTGATCTTTTGTATCCATAGGCTCATCAGTAATGACAGATGCACTGTCGGACATCTTTATCAGTTCATGCATTTTCTTCTTGTCCTAATCAGCAGATTTGGCTAAATGTTTATTTCTCATTTCACAGTTGACCTGCTATAGGAATTTCTCTCTCCTCATTTGTTCTGTTTGTTATAAAATGGAAGAAGTTTAAGGTTATCTGTTATTTACAGAGAAGTATTAGCTCAGACAAGTACCTCCTTCAAATTGTGTATAACCGAATGTCAACATTTTAAATGTTTGTCACCTTTGTGTATTTCTTTTCCTGAAGAACTCTGTCTCATGTCAGCCTTTCATTTTGTGTCCTTTTGTGAGGTAAACTGTCTTTTTCGGCCTTTTGACTGAGGTCCAAAGATAAATTGCAGGCTGTACAAGATGCGTTCTTTCTTTCAATGTCAGGCAGATACCGTTGCATGTGTTCACTCAGTGAAATACTTTCTGAGGTTGTTGGTAATGCCAGTCTATTTAGGCTTTTCTTTAAGTGCATCAATTTACTGAATGACCTCAGATGTTCACAATAATTACTTTTTCTTCTGAAGTTACATTAATTGGAATGCAACAGTGTCGCCTGAAGGATCAAGTAAAGGAGAGATGTTTTTGTAGGTGATACAGCACCTTCTATGGCAGGACAAGGTTTCTGCTGTGGCTGATGGCAATGGCTGATTGTGAAGGGGACTCCTGACATGGAGGTTGCTCAGATTAGGTGGTTGGTGGTATGAGATGACAGGTGGATTTGCAAGAAAGGTTGAGGTGAAGTCATTCTGTGAAATGGAAACATTTTATTTGATGGCCTTGGAAGAGGATAGGGTGTCCGGATGAAATAGGAGGGCAAGAAGGGTGGTTATTCCTCTTGGGGTGGATATAGTTAGGGCTGTTTAAGGCCTGGGGGAGAACTCCTGGTGAAGGGGTTCATTTCAGATGTCAGTTTCATTGCTGCATACAATTAATGGTATCTGAAGAACCTCTTTCTCTGCCTCTCCTCTCTCCCTTTAATTACTATGTTAACCTTGTTGTTCTTTGCAGCTCACATACTGACATGACTCAACTCTCTAATGTCATCTGAAATCCAAGGTTACAAAGAACGCATATTTAAATGCTATTCAGCTTTGACCAGGGAATGGTGCTTTGAAAAAAATATGTGAACACCATTGATTGAATGGTTATTTTCTGTATATATTTTAACCTGTGGAACTTTATGCAGAATAAGTGTGTAATTGTAATTATTTTCCAGTAACAACAAAAATCCTTGGATCTTCAATGTCTTCTGAAAATGTAGGATTGTGTACCATCTTTCACTTCATAGGCGTTACATGTTACCAGACTCATGTCTGTCACTGCCTCTGTATATCACTGGCATAATGGAATAATTACAGCTGTTGGATTTGGACCCATTCTTAGATAAGATAAGTGTCACAGCAGATTTAATGCCGGGCCTTGGGTTGCAGTGGTTGAGCTTTTGAGTGAGCAGGCACGATAGGGTTTAGGTCGGGGGATCTCACTGGGCAGCCCATCTTTGGGACTGCTTTCTGTTTAAGGTAAGAAGTGATGATGGAGTCCAGAGGCCAGAAACAGAGCACCGTCCAACCTTTTGCTCTCTCAGTGAGTCATCAACTGTGTTGCCCAATTTAAGACATGATAATTATCGTCATTTTTATAGCTCCCTTTCTGTCACATTATCACAAGGCACGTAGCCAAAGCATTAACACTTTGGATTTGCAGTAGTCATAAATTATTACGAAAGATAGCTTGTTGAGTGCTAATAAATGTAAATGTAATAAAGTATCACACATCTTATTAGTAATACATAAAGAGTATCAATTATTTATTACTTACCAAATGCAGAAAGCACCTAGGAAGCCATTATACTCTATTTGTCAAGTGTTACAGCATTATTTATATCTAATGCATTCTAGATGTCTTCTTGTCTTAAAATGTTTCCACCAATGCTGTACAATCTTTAAGACTACTTTTGGGTTGAATCTTTGCAAAGGTTTCGAATGCATTTTTGCAACAATGCTGCGGTCAGGCTTATCCTCCGAAGAAAGGCTAGGAATGAGAGACCGCTAAGGTAGCTGCTGCTAAATGGAGCATTAGAGGGTCTCTTCCCTCTGGACCACACTGTCCAATCCACTATCCCACAATGGTAGTCAGAGGGAGAGGAGAGGTGTTTTCGTTTGAATAACACAGTAAACTGAGTTCTTGACTAAAATGGTCGTTTCAACCTCAACATTTAAAAGTACTACTGTATATATTATATTATGCAAATGTGAACATTGGTTCAGAATTACATTTTAATTTGTCCATTTCATTAGAAATGTCCTCAAATTATTTAAAAAAATTTAATTTATGTGAATGGTTTGCACAAGAGTAACAAACAACTAAAGCCTAGTCAACAACGTCTAAAAAAAGTACAGATCAGCTTATGCCTTGTAATAGGATCCATTGTGCATTTTTTAATATAATTTCAGGAAATTTAATTCCATAACCCATGATTTTAGCTTAAAATTACAATGATTTTATCATTGTGTCTTTTGTGTTTTTGTCTTGCATGAATATTTTTCCAATTAAATCTATAGTAGTATCTTTTATATTTTAGGTACAACTGCCCCAGCTTTACTGAACAGTACTTCCAATCAGCTTTATCTGCATTTTCACACAGACATCAGTGTTGTTGCTGCTGGATTTCACCTAGAATACAAAAGTAAGTTTAAATTTAAATTTTGATTTATGATGCTTATCTGAAAATGGAGTACTGAATGTATGGGAATAAATGTAGGCAGATGTGTTGTGCAGACAGGTTAAGGAGCTTTACAATATGAATACAGTGTTTTCAAGGAACAGAATCATAGTGATTGACAATGTTTTAATTGTACTGCTCTTAGTTCATCTTGCGGAGCACAGAGTATATTGCTTTAGGGATAGAACGTGTAAAAATTATACAGTAATATCACCATCATGTAGTTGACACAGAACTGAATCTTCCTGTCAGAGTTTTAAAAAATGCAAAAATTAAAAGTCACTTGAATTGCTTTGTAATATTGGTTGGAATATTCAACTTATACTGCAAATAAATAAATAAAAGGAACATAATTTATTTAACTAATTTCAGATAAATAAAAGATCCTGCAAATCCTAGTCCAAGACAGGAGCCATTGACAGATATTGCAAATTTAGGGCCAGTTAGAGCGACACAGCTGTCTTTGACCAGTAAAAGATTGGAGCTAATGCATGTAAAATTAATATGGATATGTCTTCTACAAGTAACACTTTTCATGTTTGTTGTATTGTAAGAGCATGTAGTTAGTGTGAATAATCTAAAATATTTTATAACAATCTCTGTAATAAAATATATTTAAAGTATATTTCACAAGGCCCTGTTACAGTTAAGCCGTGATGCTGTGAAATAAATTCTCTGTGACTTATTCATATGCAGCAGTCACTTTGAAAAACAGGCATTATTAAAGATTCGAGGATCTAACTTATGGTAGGATTGTCTACTCCAGAGGTTTGCATAAGCTTGGTGTCTTGTTTTTTTTTATCTTTTTTATTGTTCTAATTTATTCCAGTGCACATGAGTAAAGGGAAACAGTGCATTATGTAGGATTGTTTGAATATGTTTCACAACATTGAAATTGAAAGGTATGGAGGAGATAAATGGATGCAGTCCTTTCTAAAACAACCTGGGGAAAAGAAAAAAATAAGATTCCAACATCGAAATATGCAGGCAATATGCATATGAACAATTAAGCAGGGTGCAGAGGTTCTGTAAACTGTAAGACCTTATAGTACAGAAACAGCATGGGTCAGCTTTGAGCAACAAAAACCAAAATATTCTTTAATACTTCAAAGCTCTCTGACATTTACATTTTGCTTTCATATTAAACTAAACTGCTTTGCCTCAAAGAGCTTATGAGCTATAATATATTCTAACATTATTTTAAAGGTAATGGATTCAAATGTTTTAATTTTTAGTGTTGTTTTTTTTTTACTCGTTGATATTACTTTTAGAAAGTATCCGTCTCATTTGGAATTATATGTTAATGTAGGGGGAGAGGATGAACCCAACGTGTAGGCATGGTGCCTAGATCCAAAATGAACTTTCATTATTTCTCTGTTGTTGTTTTCTTGATTAAGCAGAATCAACCATTAAAAGATGGTGCTCTTTTGCATTTCTTAGTTGGATCAGGCAAATGGCAGTAACATCAACAGAAGACTCATTCTTTGTTCCCTCCATCCCATTTTCAGATTCCTGTTTCTTCTTTGTTAGTTGTCCCTGTCATCACAAAGCATTTTTTTACAGTTCGTTTTCATATGAGACACTCTTCCTAAACACAAATTACAAATTAAAAACTCAGTTAGCTCATCCTCCCTTTTCACTTATGCAAACCTAGGAAGATATTCTCTTAACCATATCATATTATATTAAACGTTATAACGACAGAAGAAGCTGATCGGCTCACTCCTTACAGAGGCATGGGTCACAAGGAAGGAAGCAGCTTCCAGTGCCCCCTGCTGTTATTATCTCAGCCACTCCTTCCTTCAAGGCACAAGTGGAATGCAACCCGTTTTCAAGCACACAATACTTTGGAAAAAAAATGTCATTTTGAAAGATTAAAAAAAATACAATGTTGAAAAGCAATCAACAAATTAGTGCTGTATTGCTGTAGAGCCACAGTCCCTCAAACTTAGAAAAATACTTTCTTTTGGTTGGCTACTTTATAAAAACTATATTTTAGAATTAGTGTCTGTTTCTTAATTGCATTATTGATACCTGAAGCCTAAATATTTTGATGGAATATGTTTCAGCTTTGTTTGTCTTAAAGAAATCATCCACTCCTCCGGCAGTAAGGAAGACAAAGTTCCTACGCTGTACAGTACATACAGTAGTGTAAAAACATAAAGATATTGGCTTGAGGGAGTTCATTTTATAAACTTAGAAAATAGAAGAAATGCAAGATTATCAAAGGGTCAAGTGGGAAGATTAACAATGGTTTCTGTTAATACTGCCGTTGTATGGCAGAGAGCAATGAACCTGTTAGACAATGAACTTGTTAGCCTGCATGCTGCTATTAACTGTGCATCATTTTCATGGATGAAGAGTCAGACTTGTGTTATTGTTGATTTTTTAAAAAAATCAGTATCAGAAACATTAAAATTAAATTATATTATATTATATATATAACTGTCAAAACTTCAAGACTTTGATATGCAATTCAATATTATCCTTGGAAAAATGCATGGCTTATAATCAAATATTGCTTCTCATTGTTTTTCAATATCAATACATTAAATATGGTGTAATGCAATAGCAAAATAGTAATCAGAGGCAAAACCAAAAATATGTTAAAGCACAGTAAAAACAAGTAAGTTATAACTGGCAAGGTAAAAATCTAGATCTATGTTTTAAATATGTTTTAGTGGCTGATAACTGCACAATGGACATGTCCCAATTATCTTTACCTCTTTAATATTCCACTGGCCATATACCACAAAACCTTGGACAACAGAAGAAAATAAGTAACACAATTAAAACATACAGCCATTTACAACATTTAGTTAGAAAAACTGAGAAGTTCTTAAATGCTATTTGGTGTTGTGGCATTGAGTGTTGTGTTCCTAGGTACTGGATGGCAAACTACGGCAGTGGAATCCTGGGATATTCTTAAGAGTAACGTTGTATAACCTTGGGGTCAAAAGCTGCGATATATGGGTTAACGACATTTCCTTTACTTTGGTATTTAACAGCATCCTATGAAACAATTTCAAAACTGCTTATTTGTATTAATTTTTTTTAATTAATGTTTTAAAAGTATATGCTTGATCAGAATTAAATACTTCAAAAAAGTTTATTTTGCATCTGTTGTTTGGGGAGATTTACCAACCGGTGTTTATTTTGTGCTATACTGTGGAAAGATATTGCTGCAACAGTTTAGGGGCTGACAGACAACACTATCCTCTGATTCATATACTCTCTTACCATTCCTTCTAAATATAAACATTAAGCTCAGATAATTGTTTACAGCAAACACTTTTTATTGCATCCTCAAAGCACTTATTTTAAACTCTTGTAGTTTAATCTATATTTAAAGGGTAACAGGTATACAGTATAATGTACTGTATCTTAACATTATTTATTGAGTTCTATAAATAACACTTATATAATGAAATGGGTGGTATTTATCACATAGGACAAACAAAACATTTTAGAACTTATAAAATCTGAACTTTCTTTCCACTGTGTTTCATGTACATGTAGTATGACATGCTTAATGTTTGGGTACACAGATTTATTTTGTCTGTTACATTACGGAGTTGGCAAAGTTTTCACCAGTCTTAACATTCTCTGATTTGTCCATTTTTATTTATTATTTTGTAAAAAAAAATAATCTCCTACGAATGGGATACTTTTTCTTGGACTAATAACTTTTTCCAAATAAAGAATGGAAAAAAAGCAATTTATTCTAGCATTAAAAATCAAACTCAATGAAAAAAGAAACTCAATGTATTATAAAAAGAAGTTGTGCTTCACAATGCATACTCTATTTTCTAGTTCTTATGTCTATTAGAAAGTTTGCTTGTCAGTATTTATCTTGTTTATTATCCAGGTACTGGCAATCATGAGAAGTGACTTCTGGTAATGGTGGCTTTGTTGGCATATTGTGACCGAAAAAAGCAAACGGAACTGGAGACGACATTATTTCTTTGCCATGTTTACTACATAATTAATGCACAATATTTCTCTTCCCTTTTAAATTTCCGGAGGAAGCTAGCTGTTTGAATGCCGTCAACAACAGATACTGTACAGTATCGCCATACTTAATCGCCATCGATACACACACGCAGTTCAGGCAGGCCTGCACTCATCATAGACCATGAAATGTGACAAATATTTGTCCACACCTTAAATTGCAAATCTCACAGTGCGGGCAAGCAGTGTGTTTTGTCTGGATCAAGGCCGGCAGATATATCAAGATATTGTAAGTGTTTCTACCGCACTCCTAAGTAGGACATCATAGTGATGAACCTCAAAGGATGCAATGGAGTGACCAAGATGGAGCTCTGTGCAATTGGTAAGAAAAGACCCATTAGGAGGTTCTTCTTAATTGTTGCCTGATGGAAACAGGTGTATTAGTAATCCTTCCATCAAATTATGAACCAGAACTTTGATTAAGAACAATATGCTAGTTACTGGCAAGTAAAGAGACCCTGCCTACATGTATATTCATTTTAAATAAAATGCAGGTACTGAATCATTCAAGATGTCTGTTTGATTATTTTGTTGAATAATAAGACAGACACTTTGTGAATTAAATCCTGTGGAGATTCAGATTCAGTTTTCATTCTGTTTTTCACTTGTATACAGCTGTGTCTTATCATATGCTTTCTTAATAAAAGTAAGCTTGAAGCACTTGTCCCTCTTCGCTGTGGCATGAGGCGGGGGCGTGCCCAGTGTGGCCTCGCCTGCATTGTCCCAGCTGTCCTGGCTGACGAGCCCCAGCTGGGGGGGCCCTGTAAAGGCACGCTGGACAGCCCCGTAAGGGGGAGTTTACAGCGACAGGCCTGGAGGGGATTGCAACCCTGTAAGGTTTTCTTCTTCTGTTCGTTTTTCTTTTTTTCGCCTGACCCGCTGTGCAGGACCACCGGGGCAGGCTGTTCCATTTCCACAAGTTTTATTGTTGTCTTTCCCTTACACGCCCGGCTCTACCAGGCTGGACCCCGTTTAGTAGGGTCGGTCCAGTCTGGTCACCGCTGTGCGGGTGGTGATTTTGTTCCCAGGCTGGACCCGGGTGAATAGGGTAAGCCCAGCCTGGAGGTTATGAGGCACAGCGGTACACCTTCCTTTTTGTGTTTTATTTTTCGCTCTTTTTGTGTTATTTTTGGCCCCTGCTAGCCTCCCACCGGTGCTTCCCTCCCCTCGCCCGGGGCTCTGACTTCTACCGGCGCTCCCCACGTCTCCTCCCTCTCCGCCCTGTCGCACCCCTTATTCTTTTTTTACTTCATACAGTATATGTTTCCATTGTCACACAACAGCAAGCATTAACTTCAGTTTTTTTCTTTGGTCAGTTTGCATTTTTGCCACTCAAAGAATATAAAACATAAATGCAGCAGCAATAAGATGAATAATAACAAATCAAATACAAATAGCTCATAAAATAGTTAAAATGCAATGGGGGGGGGGGGTAAATTTGTAATGCACTGCATGAGGTAGCAAGTTTATTATTTTTTTCAAAGCGTGTGTAGCATTTAAGAAAAAAGAAAAAAAATCTTTAAATCCATAAGTGTCTGATGGTAAGTCTTAAAAGCTGAGAAACTGCAGGGAATGAAGGAATCTTGTAAAGCTCAGTATAAAAGGCTGGGCTGTCTCGTTGATGCCAAGTTCATCCTGACTGTTCAGCATGTGAAGACTGTAGCAGCATTTTAATTACCCCAGGCAGAGCTGTGCCTTCTGTGTAGCAGTTAAAAAGTGCCAAAGGATTTCCAAGACTGGGATAACAGCTTCAATAGTGCAAGTTAAAAAAAAGTTAAAATCTTTGGAATTTTTTAAAAGTGAGTTTGAAATGATTGATGTCATTTAGGTTTCTAACTTAGCCCCATCTACTTTTTTTAAAGCAGAATTGTATTCAGGCCCAAAACATTATATGTAGCTTTTAATTAATTTGTAGTTAAATTAGAAATGCTTTCACATTATAAAATATATGTAAAAATAATCATCTGTCTTTTTATTTAAGTTTAACATAGAACCTTTTCAAAGTGCGGCTGGTGGGTTTTTCAGTATCAGTTTCCATGATAAAGCTGATGCTTGCTTATTCCTTTTATGGTTGGAATTCATCCTCAAAAGGTACTGTGAACCTCTGATGCCGTTTTAAGTAAACTAACTAAATAGATCTTGTGTGGTTTAAAGCTTTAATATGCTTTATAAGGGCAGGATTAAAGCGTACAAGCAATATTAATCAATAGATAAGCAGCAAGCAAATGGTTTTTAGCAAAGGGAGAAAAAGGTTTTATTTAAGAGGTTTATAAGATCTGACGGTGATACTGCATTCATGCTTTGACTACTAAGAACATTGCAGCTCTAAGGTGTATGCCTTAAGCCTTTTCTTGTCTATTTCACTTGTGCGGAAGTGACATTTAACATTTTCTACCAGTGTCTGCAGGCATAGTCTATTTCAGTCCATGTGATATTTTCATCAATTGCACATTCATGGTACTGTACCTTCACATGGACAGCCATTTTCCTACACAGACGTGTTTTCTTATTGTATTAAAAATAACCACTTTTTTACTTTAAATATCAAATAAAATATTTATTAAGGGAAAAATATAATGGGGACCATTCATGTGCCACAACTTTAAAATTATTTCAAGTAAAAAAAAGGTTTGAATAACAAATTTCAGTATGGTCCATATGCTTTGATATTTACCCACATTTGTGATTCCTGCACATTAACAAATTAAAAAGCAGCACATTTGGTGCACAAATGTGGTACAAAAAGCCTATATAAGATGTAATGTTTGTGTTGTATTTTTTATTGATCCATATAATTTTGATTTTGAAAAAGTGGTCTTATTAATCAGGTTTCTCATTCAATTTATCACATTCACCCATTGGCTAACTTTTTATCAGCTTTAAAAATGTGTTGCAAGCTTAAAATGTAATTGAACCTCTGGTTCCTTCATAATGTAATACAGTATACACTATGTATATTTTAGGTGCATTCAATTCACAAATGCCTTTCTAATTTACAGTCTCCTTAATGAAAAAAAATGTATTTAGTGTTTAGGAAACATTAATATAACCAATTACTTAACTCTGGAGTTGACTGTTTTAGGGAGAAATGCATGTGCAACAGAAAACTAAAAAATAAGTCAAATGTCTAAAATTGTATTTATTGTATTTATTCAGTTAATTCTTATGATTTAGGAGTGTAAAATAATACAGTACTGTATATAAACTCTGTGTGCTGGTTCAATTATTGAAAGAGCTGCTTCCATAATCTTTTGAAACAAAGGTTGTGACACACAAACTTACAGTGCCACCTGCTGCAAATTAGATTATTGTTAGAAAATGTGATCTTCACTAAAATACATTTATTTTATAAATAATATAATTTATTTACAAAGCTGTTTTTGTCAATGCTACATCCTGTAACGTCCTATATTATAATAATCATAATAATATTAATAATTTTCTTGTTCTTTTCTCTTAATGAAGCTGTTGGACTAACAACTTGTCCTGAACCGTTAGTTCCTGCCAATGGGATAAAGACTGGGGACAGGTTCATGGTCAATGATGTAGTGTCATTCAGCTGTGAACCAGGATATGTTCTGCAGGTATGTCCCATACTGGAGTCTGTTCTGAAGCATTACATTTCAGAGTCTTCCCTGGGTTTCTTTTTAAATAGGAAATGTACAGGAATGATTTCACCAGTATTCAGACATTGAGAAGTATTTATCACAATATATTACTCACATAAATAAACATTTGCAACATACATAGTTTATGTATGTTAAAAGCCTGGTTTTCCTGGAACTGTGCCTTCGCTCCAGGGTACTTACTGGGGACTGTTAATCCCCTTAGTGAAACAGCAACCTCTTTACTATGAGTAACAACACTTTGGAAAATACAACCAGCTACACATACAGTACCTTGGTCTGAAGATCAGTTAATTCAGAGGGTTTTGACTTGGCAGAGAGGTCACTGAAGAAGGTATGCTGGGATGTCTATACCATGAGAAGGAAGGTCTACAATATTACTTTCCTCGCACAAAAAAATATAGCTGTGAATATTTGAAAGTGTAATTGAACCCATTGCCCTACATAGGCAGGATTACACAAAATAGGACAAACAGCCCATAAAAGCCCAGTACAATAAGACATTGGCTACTCCTTAAAAGCAGTGACCAGAAATCTTACAACACCAAGACCCTGCTGAGCCACCAGCTCAGCCCAGGACTCTGTCAGCAGGCCTTGAAGCCCACTGTCCCGAGCCCTACTGAAACCAGCAAGCCTCAGGACATTATATACTGTACATGTACTGTATGTAATGTAAATACTGCTACAGTATAACACAAATCAGAGAGAGACATCTTACAGTGCTAACTAAAACAAACTCTACCCCACCCTTTGGACACTCACACACCACACAGGCCTGGGCTACCAGGGCCAAAAAAGGCAATTCACATTGGCAGACTATCTTACCAGGGTGAGAAACCACATGAAGAGGCAAAACCTGATAATGTATGGGCTCAGTGGCCATAGTCTGGTGACAGACAGATATGGCTAGCCACATAGGACAGGCTGTGCTCCCAATGCCAGCTGAACAAAGGAGAGAAGAGACACAGACACACTAGAGATGAATTCTTCTTTAAAACAACAAAACAAATCTTAAATCCAAGAATTCCCAGACCTGCCTGAACAGCAATCAATCATACTGGGGTAAGAGGGTGAAAATTGAATAAAGTTGGCATTTTAATTATGTTATTTCCTACAACAACCTGAGGAGCAGAGAATAATATTGAGAAGTACAATGTTCTTATAAATGTTTATATATATTTGTAATTTTTTTTGTGAATTTCAGCACAATGTGTGTACTGTAATATACTATTTTAGAATTACATACATCTGTAAGGCCCATAAAATATGTATTACTATTACTAAGCGACCTTCTGCAGTGTATTTCTCATTTTCTTGTAATCTTATATATTGAATTTCCTCTCATCCTGGGACCACTGATTTCAGGTTGAAATGTGTTTAAAAATACCCTGATTGGTTTTAGAATAACTAGATTGCTATGACTACATTCCAACTGGTATGACTTGTTATTGCTAAGTCTCCTCTCTTGATCAAAGAGCATTTATGTCTTCAGGTAATGGTGTGGAATTGACCAATTTTTCAGTAATGCAGTGGGAGGCATGATGAATGGCTCATTTTCATAATTCTCAAACACATCTATAAAAAATTGTCCACATTTTTGTACCAGCTTTTTATTCAAACTGTAACAAACTATTACTTCTGTTGTGTATTGAAGAAAATATATATATACATACAGTAGGGAAATAAGCAGATATTTCACAAAATAAATAATTTAAACTCTTGTGAGTATTATCCTGTCAATAATACCAGACAATTATTTAAGGACATACTGTATACTGTACCACACTATAAACTGTATCATTCACAGGGACACTCTCATATCTCCTGTATGCCTGGAACAGTCCGACGCTGGAATTACCCACCACCTCTTTGCATAGGTAAGAGTACTTTTGAACTCACCAGTTTTCCATGTGTCAACACATAGTTCGGAGGTTGGATTTATCTGCTGTTTTGAAGGAAACTACAATTGTTCTATGCTAAATTGAAACTCTACCTTTGGACATCAGTAGTGGAGACCTGAAAGTAATCATTCTGTTCTTTTCCTTTCTTCCAATTCTCACGAAATCACGCCTGTATCTGCTCTAGCTCGTTGTGGAGGAACACTCACAGCTATGACCGATGTCATCCTCAGCCCTGGCTTCCCTGGAAATTATCCCGGCAACCTTGATTGCACCTGGAAAATCTTGTTGCCAGTTGGACATGGTGAGGCAGAAAATTAAACAAAATAGAAAATATCAAGGTTGAACTGTCAGTTAAATGTAAACACTTCTTGGTAGCTGCACTGGAGGGTGAAATAACAAAAGACCTGATGTCTCTTTATCCTCATGTCATTTTTAATGCAGTTAATTTAGTCTGTCCTGAGAGCTACTTTTTGATAGCACGTTGAGAGCCTACAGTCATACAAGGCATTAATAGCATTCTCTTTCCGATGCATTTTTATTGTTAACAGGCTAGCCTGACTATTGTCTTCATTTGTATCAAATTTCATTTACCTCTCAACCCACATCTGAGAATTAGATAAATAGCTTTATCTGCATGGTCCTTTGTGATTCCTGCTGGTAATGACTACGTTGTCAGTGCATACAAATTCAGACTGCTAAATAAGCCCCATTGAATCGCGGTTTCTCTTTGTTTCTGTTTGAACAGATAAGCCAAAAATAACAAAAATAGCATTTGTTGCAAATAGGCCGAGAATTTACTGTGTAAGGAAAGAAAGAAAAAATGCAACACATTCATTAATGTCAAGTTTGATCATGTTAAAATAGTGGAGACTTTCATTAGTGATTATGACAGTTCTGTTTATTGATTTTAAGTACTTCCACATACAAAATAAACATTATCCATCCATCAGGTGTGTGTACTAAAATAAATATTCACACAGTGAGATATAGCAGTACTGGATAAGCAATAAGATGAGAGGTGGTGAGAATGAAAAATAAAAGAGATATAGCACTGGTCCAGCATGATTTCGGTTATCCCTGGTCCTTCCAAGAGATTCAAGAGACTACGAACCACTTCACAACACTTCTGCTGTGGCTCCTCAAACACTGAACTCTTATTGTTTTGCTATAGGAAAGTAAAGCTAGGACAACACTACCTTCTAAAACAAATCTTTTACATTGTTCATTTATGGTTTAGTAACTGTACCCTCCACCTGGGTAACATAAGCAACGTTGCATGACATCTGAAAAACAAAAAATACAAGAAAATCTGAATTTCAAATGCCAGGAAGGTGAACACACAATTTTGAATAGAAGCTGGTCTGTGTTTGTGTTTTGTTGATCATGCTGATTTTGTCAAAAATATATACTCCATTCAAAAATAAACAATAGCTGATTTACATATATTTTACAGTACTACCAAACTGTTTGTTATTGTCTTTATTTTATACAGAGATGTGAAACAAACATGTCAACCACTTCATTAAAAATAAAATTAAGTGCCATTGCTTGTTAGTAAAATGATTTAAAACAATGAAAAAGAAAGTAACATTCCTAAATTTGCTTTTTTGAATGGTCGTAAGATTACTCTGTTCATTTCTTTTAGGACACACAGTGGGACATAAATATATACAGAAAAAAACATAGATTCATCTGTGCTTTTTGCCACTCAATGTACTCATCACAGTGCAACCCAGTTTAACGCTGAATAGATCTGTTGATGTGCTCATTGTAGTTAATGTGGATGGAAGGTTTTTTTTGAAAACCTCCTATTGTTTGAGCCTCCATGCCTGCGTCTCAAAGCACCGACTTTGCTAAAATCCCTTTAGTCACACTCATGTGCTGCCTGCTGGTGCGATCCGACATGAAATAAGGAAAAATAAATAGGCTAGATGAGATGCATTGAGGCACTCTCCTCTAATAGCCATTTACCAAATAAATCTGCATCAACCATACATAGAATGTCACAACATTTCATTTTCTGTGCTTTGACAAAAGTCCCTTTCCACTTCTTATCTGTTCTGCAGCCTTTATTACTCCTAAATCTTCTTCAAAAACTTAGTATGTCTCCATTAGCGGTAATCCACTAGTGCCAATGGACGACATGTTTGCCGGAGAAGGAGAGTCATGGGTGGTTTTCAGAATAAATACAATAGCTCTACTTGCTGTTATCGTTTAAAAAGATGCATGTTTTCCACTACTGGTTGTCGGATTTTTTTGTTAAAAAAATGTAATGTAGCCTTTCTCAGTAACTGTTTTTTTTCATTGGAATGCCGTAAGGAACTGGAAGGTGAGGTGGCTGGCCTGGGAGTGCAGTGTGGGAACACATCATGGTTGGAGTGTCAGCCCATTACAGGGCCAACACACGTGTTTATTCACACATGCACATGGGGCTGATTTTTGAGATAAGATCACTGTATCGGCCATATACAATTTCTTGCATTAGGAATTTGTCTTTGCACAGACCCCAGCTTGTTCTCCATGAGACACACAGATTTGGAGAGAGAAGCTTGGGGTCAGAGCGCAGGGTCAGCCATTTATACGGCGCCCCTGGAGCAGCTGGGGTTAAGGGTCTTGCTCAGGGTCCCAGCAGAGTAGGATTCCTCTGCCGGCCGCGGGATATGAACCGGCAACCTTCCAGCCACAGGCGCAGGTCCTTAGCCACAGAGCCACCACACTGCCAGTTAATCTAGACAGCCGACATCGGGACACCGAGATGCCAGTTAATCTAGATGGCTTGTCTTTGCTGTGGGAGGAAACCAGAACATCCATAGAACAGTCATGCAGACACAGAGAGAAAATAGAAACTCCACATAGAACGGTCCCCTGAATCAAAACTAGGATGCTAGAAATGTAAGCATCACATCACTGTGCCACACTTCATTTAAACTTAAAAAAAAATGAAATACAATTACTCACATCTGAGACTAAACTGTCCCAGGTTTAGGTTGTTTATGTTGAGGTTAGCGGTTAGTTAGATTTATAAGATTTATTTGTAAACTTGGTTTTAGCTTATCTGCCACACAATAGCTAGTTAGTTTTGTGCATTTAGCTGCATTTCTTTTCTTTCAGTGCAATTCTAAGGAAGTTTTTTTTGCGTAGACATCATCCTTACTTTTAACTATGGTTGGGTAACATGTTCAGCAGTTTCATGTTAAGCAATTGTTAATGGCCCTTAACCATTCAGTTTCATTGTAATTAACAATTCGGTTTAATTGTCTTGTTTGTTTTTCTTTTATCTCACAAAAATCAGTTTAGGAAAGAATGAAAACCAGCTGTGCGAGTCTACTGCAGATGTAAAATGTTAATATGTGAATTTTGAAGCATTGTCTATGTTTCCCTTTTCTGCAGGTGCTCATATCCAGTTTGTTCACTTTTCTACAGAAGACAATCATGATTTTCTGGAAATCCGCAACGGACCACATCACACTAGCTCTCTGATCGGTCAATTCAGTGGAAACCAGCTCCCACCAGCATTGCTGAGCACAACACATGAGACAGTGATTCACTTCTACAGCGATCACTCTGAAAACAGACAGGGGTTCAAAGTCTCATACCAAGGTACAGAAAGAATAATCTTATTTTCTGTATTCAGGGGGGAAAAAAATCTGTATCAGGAATGGAGCAAAGCCAGTTCTTAAAGGCAACACTCCTACAAATTCTATGTGTAGCTAAACTAATATTTTCAAATGAGTGATTAAGATCATCAATATATTTGGTTGAAAGTTTCATCTGAAGAAGTATATATGGTTTTCAGTTTCAAGTCCCGAGTCCAAACTACTACTCTATACTACTAAAGTACCTCAGATCAGGACTGTAATGAACACTAAAGGACTGTGATCCATCGTTGATCTAAATGATAAGTTATCATTGTGTTCGTAGGAAACCAATTATTTTTTCTGATATTTCAGTCATTTGGGTACTAAGATATTTGAAGAGATGTCAGATGAATCCAAAGACCTTTTAGTACGTTAAGTGGTCGCTTATTATTTACGTGCAAGATAATGAATCTGTGTTTTCAGTGATGTTGTAGTATGGATTCAATACAGGACTCAAAAGGATGGCTATGAATGCAATAGAAGATATTTGAGCAGTCACCATTACTCTCCTGGGTCACGTGTTCTTTGGAGTGTTGTTTGTTGATTTTTTCTTGTCCAGACAAGTCCAGCTCAAGAATATAGTTCAAGTAGGTAGCTGCGTCAGCATGTGTAGGCTGCAAAGGAACAGGTTAAAGGTTGCTCACACCCAAAGAAGGCTCCACAGCCGAAACGTTGTGTTTCCTTTCTTCTCTTTTCAGCGTGGAATAAACCTTTAACGTTTTCCTTTGCAACTCAAGAAATGTTCATGAGCAACATGTGAATTCACCCTTCGACCACAGCGTACCCTATTTGGTGGAGAATATTGAACATTTTGGAGATTGATCACACAGCCATGCTTAGCCAAATAAGATATATAACAGTTACCACATTCATACCTCATCCTACCCAGGATCTCCTCATGCCTCCCTGAATTAGGGCTGTGAGAGTTTTAAGTGGGAGAGGGCACCTGCTGAGGGGACTAATTGGCTGGATGATCAGCGGCACTGGAAGGCACATTCCTAAGGCTCGCGCACCGATCCATCAGTTCCTTATTATCTCCCAGACAAGCACTGCTCTCAGCCCATTATCCAGTTATGTGGTGCTTTTTAAGTATTTTTCGAGTTATTTAAAGCTGATAGAAAATCTCTGCCAGATCTCAGTCATTCTCACAGTTTGCTAAAGTCTTTTAAGATTTTGTTTAATGCCTGATGTCCAGTAATTCTAATAATCTCTAATGCAGAGAGAATGAACTATCTGGGACAAGAGAGGTGAAACATTTTTGGTTACTTCATAATAACATGATTATCCGGTTTTGTATGGCCTGACTGAGAAGCATGTTTAGACAGTATGTGCAGAAATAGGTGCTTTCATTTCATGCGTATTAGGTCTGTGGAGGTGTGGTTATGATTTCTAGCCGTTTTTGAGTTTTAAGTTGTACTGATTACTGACCAGATGTAATGAGACAGCTGAGGTTCCACTTCCAGAGTAGAGGGTTACCTCTTAGGCATTTTGATTTACCTCAAAGTCTTTTTCCATGGATGTTTCATTGCCTAATCACAGAAACTCCTCTGCCAGTGATTCCTTCAATCCTCTCTGTACATGTTGCCGCAGTGTAGAATTCACACCTTTGTGTACACCAGTGCAGTACGTCTTATATACTGGTAAAGGATGAGTAATTATATGAAATTATTCGACTATGATGGTTAAAGTTTTTGTAAAGAGAAATTGTGCCAAGGCTGAAAGAAGATGTCGACATGAACTTAACTTTGATCACTGGTGGCCTGGGATCAAATCTGGATCTGGTGGCAAGTGACCAGATTGCAATGATCTAAAATGTAGCATCTGTTAGAGATATGTTCACAATTTGAAACAAGTAAGTGGGTTGACACATCCTGTTGTCAATCCTGCTAAGAAGAGCACTCAAGGCAGAAGAGTGCTCTGAAAAGTAGGGGTCTTTGGTGTTGGCTTCTTGAGTTGTTCTCGTTGACTCATTAGAGCAGAATTACAAGACTTCATCTGATTTTAGATGTTGAGGGAAAATTAGTAAAAGTGCATCAAATAAATATGAATTTAAGCATGTGTACGAGATTCCTCTTCAGATATGACAAGTTTCTATATGTTGTGTTGATGCTTCACTTCTCAGATAGTTACTTATGTACTGTAATTGTGTAACTTGTGTTTTTGTTTGTTTTCCCTGTGCATGTAGCATAATGGTTTTCAACTGGACAAAAAATATTTTCCCCTGTGTGCCATCACACATTGCAACATAAAGCCACTTCATAGTAAATCAGTAGATAATAGTGGTATTATTCAGGCACTGCTGATAGTTAGGGAATGTCTTCCCTAGCTTTCCGATAAAGAGCATATTAGATCCATTTCTGCTTGTAGTGTATCATTTTTTTTCACTGACAGGGATGGGTATAACCAAGATGACAATTCCTCTATCCATCAATCCAAAGCAGACAGGATCTAGTTTGTAAAACCCATATCTCAATTCAATTGAGAGCCCGTGGGCCAGGCTTGTCAGACATGTATACATATTTATAGGTTTTAATTCGTATCCAATATTTGCTGTCCAACTATTCAGGATGTAAAATATATGCAGTCACACAATTCAAACATAAAGCTCTTGGCCTTTTATATAAAGAGAATTATAACTTTTTTTTACTGCTCCCACTGCAGCCTTTTCTCACTTTAAATATCAGAAGAAATAGAATTTTGTCAGTAGCCTATAAAACATGAATTAATTGTTCCGTCGTGAAAACCTCAAACCGTCCCAATTTACAGTATGTTTATAAAGAAAAATCATACCACAGAGTTTAATGCAGAAAATAGAAAATGCAGAGTAATTGTCAAAGATAATTCTAGCCTTTTTGTTAAAAAGTCACTGACATTTGTAACACATTACATCTTTTCTGTTGCTTCACATACTGATTATTGTTTTGCAGAGTACAATCAAAGCCCCTTAATTAAATGAAAAATGTCTGTTTCGTTGGTTAATGCAATCTTTCCTTGAAAATTGCATGTGGATTACTTATTTTAATAGGTGTTACTGATCTAAATGGCAACAGGAATGAGAATCATATTAAGGCAATCCCTTGACAGATAGCTAGAAATGTACTATAACAATAAAAACTCAATTCAAAATGTTGGGAATAAAAACATTTACAAAGTGTATTCATCCATAAAAGAAACTTTTAGATTCCTCTTAAAGTACTTCATGGATACTTTATGAGGGAGGATAATGGCACATGTCCAGTGGATTTTAGCTGAGGGTATTGTCACTCTAAACTTTTATTTTTCAGCATATGAATTACAGAGCTGCCAAGATCCTTCGCCATTTCATAATGGATACATCATCAACAGTGATTATAATGCAGGACAATCTATAACCTTTGAGTGCTACCCTGGATATGTTCTGATTGGACATCCTGTTCTTACTTGTCAACATGGAGTCAACAGACGATGGAATCGTCCTTTTCCCCGATGTGAGGGTTAGTACGTGATGGCTTTTTGCCTTGCTTTTGGCTTATACCAGAGAAGAAAGAAAAGCATTCTGATTTGTACCGTTATTAATGTGTTACATGATAATGTACAGTATGTGTATGTTTTGGTTTGGATTTTGTTTTGAGATTGGTAGAGTATTTTTGCTGTTCTAACTATTCCCTTTCTAGGGATTTCAGAGAATTTGTGAATATTAGAGTGTCATTCAGCACACAGTATATTCACTGTGTATGGTGAGAATGTTTGTATGAATTAACTAAGGAGCTGAGATTAAAAACAAAATACACATGTTACAGCATTGCAAATATTCTTATGACATAAATACTAATAATTCAAGTTGAAATACAACGCATATATAGTAATGTACTGTCAGGGGCACAATGCAAGAATCCATAAATATGATCAACTTTGCTAATAATAATTCCGGAAAACAGCTTTCCATGGAAACACATAGAAACACTATAATTCAAACTGTAATAACATACTTTCTTAAAGAATGTCTGCAAATACTATAGGGCTGCGTATTCACACAGCTATCATTAAACAAAGACTGATATGTAGATCTCCGAGTCTTGGTCCTTTTACAGAATAAAACATGGTAGCTTCAACACAAACATGGTGCTTTAAAGCAGACATGCATTTGAAGGATCAATGGCAGTTTAGATAGATGTCTGTGTAGACATTTCATCTGAGCATTCAGTAGGGCAGTAGCCACATAAAGCTTTTTAAAGGGAAAAGAACAGTGGGGTTTATTTTCTGAAGATGTTTTTCTGAAACAGTTTCTGACTGCAGATTGATACCAGAGAGGACTAGCATATTTACTGTAGCTGTTTCACTGCTCACCATTACTGTGCATCTGAGAAACCTGAAAAGAAAAAAGAAAAAGAGTTCTCTAAGCTTTATTTTTAGATAGGCTTTCAAGATAATTTTGATTCCAGTGAGGCTTTTTTGAGTTTTGTGCCTTTTGAAGGTGGTCATTTTGAATTGCTGATAGCTTTATAGCAATCAAACCAAAGTTTTGTTTCTTTTCATTTATACATGTCTGGTTAAAGCAGCAGAGAAGAGGTATTTTATGGTGTGCAGACATGGTCAAAATCTGGAATGCTGTATGAAGCATATCAGGTTAAGGATTGCAAGCTCCCCACAGAATAATAAAGCATGTAATGTCTTCTTGATGATTTTGTGGATAATAACCAATTTACTTATACAGTAGCTGAAAATAGGAAACCATTGTAAGCTGAACCTTAAAAAAAGTAAAAACCAATAGCAAAAGTTAACTAATTATTTCTGAATTGTTCAGAAGCCATAGAGAAATGTAGGAATTAGGAGATGAGACGTGAGGATGGATTTAAGAAGAAATAAATATTTTATGCTAATTGTCATTTCTGATATTTCTCTGTCAGGATTGGGATACCTTCTTAAAGACCACTCCTACTTAGAGGATTATTAAAAGAATATCCTTAAAAGAGAAATCATGATTTTTGCACCTTTAGCAGGTCACCATATCAGCAATGTTAAATTTGCATAATGAAATAATAATAATAATAATCTGATTTACTGTAAATGCATTCACTACAGTGAATTCCAACTCAAAGGACTGGATAGACTATGTGGCCCTCCTCTTGTTGGTCAACTTTCTCATGTCCACTTAGAGATTGAACATGTTCTTTTATGAAGACATGCATTTGTGAAAAATATAGGCATCACAGGCCTTCACTGAATATACTAATAGAACAGTACTGATTATATGATTCAGTGTAGATAATTGAAATGCCTTCCATTTAACTGGAGCCAGGAGGTATATCTAAGTTCAGACTGAAATGTTCTGACATTAATTAATTACCCTTTGGTGCTGCTGCACATTGTAATTTAACTTGGACAACCTAAAGGCAACATACCGAAATGCTCAGTAATTCATCGCAGTGCTTGCTTTCTCTAGTAGTGTGGAATTCTTAATCAGTGTAGGGAATTAATTTATGGATCTTTTCTAGACCATAGTTTTTAATCTTAGTTGAATTAGCTTATGAAACTGCTAATATTACAGTACAGTACATCAAATCTATAGACTTGATGCCTCAGTTCTATTGGAATCCCATTATTTATAAATTTGAAAAAAAATGTGCCACCGAGATATATCATATTAAACTTCTAATTTTAAATATAAGTCAAACCAAGTACTGTAAAGGTCATCTGGCAAGTTAAAATTAACTTGAGTAAAACTTGGGCATTCCAATCTCATTAGACTGTGACTGCTTCTTATTAAATATTAATTAAAAAGGAACTTCCCTTGAAATAATGTGACCCCATTATTAATTTATTTATATTTTTTATAAATCACTTTGGTGCAAAAAGAACTCCATGCTTGAATTTGCTACCCAGATTGTATTTTTTTAAACATGAACACTGGATTTGCTGTATTTGTTAAAAGACACAAAACAACCAGTGAATTAAAGAAAGAAGTCCACTTTGAATGATTTGTAGGTGAATGTCTCAGTAAAGAAACACTGGGTTATATTTGTCACATTATATATTTTTTTGGCATCTTTTAATAAGAGGTTCAAGTAGTTCTTAACCTACTTAAGAACTACTTCAGCAGAGAAGAGTTCTTCAGATTGATGTGGTCAGGATACTAAAGATTCATTAGCAGCTTCATTACCATTCATCATTACCATTGACTTTTCTCAAGGAAAAATCAGACTTAAGTCCTTTGTCCGTGGTAAATTTGTATATACACATGTCATTATGAATGATAGTATTTGAGAGAATGTGAATGTTTTTCATCTGAGGCCATTTTACAACACTACAAAACAGAACTACTAAACAGCCTTCTAATTCTGATTTGTACACAAACCATCTCTACAGTATATACTTACTGTGTACGGTGCTTATATTTTCCTTGTAATGACCTGAAGACAAGAAAAATTGGTTTTTCTAGTACTGTACCTTGCTGAAGGACAGATAGACCTGGGATCCCTATCAGTTAAGTCATTGACAGAGCAGTACTGAGAAGGTCAGTAGTTTAAAGCAATTCTGCAACTACAGTACAAATAATAGACACAGTTTAGTAACAAGCAACAGGGGTACTTGGATGTTAACTATTGATGCATTGTTCTCTAGATCTGCGACAGTACCACAGATTCATGAAGCAGAATTTTTCCTGGTTGAAGGCTGATATGATCCAATGGATTTCTTTAGTCATTGACTGGATTCGAACTAATGTCAAGTCTAAATGAATTCTCACTTTCATCCAAACCCCCATCGATAGTATTTTATCTTATGCATGTTAAAAATCACTGTTGATACTGAAAGCCTTATCCATTGATAAAACAGCATTTTGTGCACTTTAGTATAGATTTTTGTTTTCACATGATATAAGGTGCTGCATTTCTCTGTCTGTTCTGTATCTTGGCTACTGTTATATGGTATCAGGCATGTGGTTCACTAGCCATATCTTCTGTATGGAAATTTGGCCAAAAGATGTAATTTATTAATTTTCTTAATTTTGTGCACTAGCAATAGATTTTTGTCATACACATTGATCTAAACACCCCCCTTTTTATTACAGCACCTTGTGGTTACAATGTCACAGCCCAAAATGGCACAATATATTCACCTGGATACCCAAATGAGTATCCCAACTCCCAGGACTGTACGTGGCTGATTACTGTCCCTCAGGGTCACGGGATTTATATCAACTTCACTCTGCTCCAGACTGAACCTGTCACTGACTACATTGCTGTATGGTGAGGATGACTTCTACATGTGTGTTTAGACTGATTGTAATTTCATTGTTTACATAGGGTCATTGCGTATTAGAGTAAAATGGATGGTACTGTAGTTCTGTCATGTATAAAACTTGATGTTTAATACGGTACAATCATTGATAATAGATTTTAAGTTTAGGACTATAATGTTAACTCTTTTGTAGGACAGCGATGCTTATTACAATTGCTAAAAATTGCTATACAAATTGCTAAAAATAACAGTTATACATAAGTTATGCTCCCAGATATATACTGTATATACTCAAAATTCATCTAGTAAAGGTTAATTATACTTAGTAATGTGAATGGAAAGGACATATTATTTATTTTCTTTTAGGATATCCTACATATTTGTTTTTCTCTCCAATAACCACATCTTTCTTTCTGTTAAAATGATTGTTCACTTATTGCAGGCTATTGCTATGTAATAGTTTTCATAGAGTATTTGGTTATTATTCTCATCCTCACCCCAAGACCTTTATTTAAAATTTAGTGGAGATGCACATATATTTTTTAGTCACATACTGGATTACCAATCATACATTTCCTATGTTACAATACAAATGAGAGCAATTATATAAACTGTCTCTGGGCTCCAGTATAATCAAACTTTGTTCAGGCTGCCTGAGCTGATTGAAATAACCACCAGAGATATTGCTGGAATCCATTATACTATACAAGCTTTTTCATTCCAAGCAATTTAGTTAATTAATATTCAGAAACAATTAAATTGGCCAAAAAGTTTTCTTTTCTTGAAATTGCTGAGCAGCATCAGTTGCATATATTACTTTATTCTTTACAGATTATGCAGCTACACATTGACTGCCTTTATCTAATAAAGTTGTATTAGACTCATTGCAAATCCTGTGTCAGATGTGAATGCAAATGAATTTCTTAACTCTGTTACTTTACAGTAATAAACTACTATCATGAAGATGGTGTCTGATGGTAGCAAGAAAATTGATTGTTCATTTTTCTTAATTGATTTTAATCTAAAGCATATTTTTCTCCTTTAGGGATGGACCAGAAGAAAATTATCCACAGCTTGGAGTTTTCAGTGGCAATACAGCTCTTGAATCAGCCTACAGTTCCTTTAATCAGGTTCTTATTAGGTTTCACAGCGACTTCTCCACGAGTGGATTTTTTGTCCTCAATTTTCACGGTCAGTTTCTCTCCTATGTGCATGTTAATGCAACTCAAAGATATATCTTAAAATACTACGGATATGCAGTCTTGAAATTAAATTAGAAGCAGAATTTAAAGTCCGTACAAATTCTTTAACATTTAAGACATCTGCAAATGGAAAGCTGATAATACACAGTTTTGTATCTGGAAAGCTTTTACCACTACATTGAAAATAACACCTTTCTTAGACAGGGAGAGACTCCTACTGTTTTGGCTTTGTAAGTCAAACAAGTACAAGAGAAGAGAAAATATTTAGAAATTATTGAAAATATTATAGGAATCTTATTGTATATTGCATCAAGGGGTTCCTTTCTCAGTCTACATCAAGATTTCAGTCGTATTTCGCTTCAGGTTAATAGTGTGTAGATTCTGTATTTAAGTACAATTTGTTTCAGAATTTCTTCTTTTCAGTACTACTTTAAACACTTGTTTTTTTTTATGCATGTCTCATCTGGCTGCTTCATAAGCACATAAGAAAGGTTACAAATGAAAGGAGGACATTCAGCCCATTTAGCCTGTTTAGTAGCTAATTGATACAATGATGTAATGCAGAGGTTTCTTGAATTAGGCCAGGTTATCAGCTTCACCAACATGGCTGGGTAGCTTGTTCCATATTCCTACACCCCCATAGCTAGAGGTGCTTTCTTCCACATAGTTTCTTAATTTGCCCTCTGGTTTGTGTTCCGCTGTTCATTCTGAAGAAATCAGCTGTGTTGATATTGTCAAAGCCTTAGTGGATTCTGAATACTTGAACCAGGTTCCCTTGTAATCTTGTGTTCTTTCAGCCTGTCCATGTTGGACATTCACTTAATCCCCGGAATGTGTCTGGTTGTTCTTCTCTGGACTGATTCAAAAGCGGCAATATCTTTTATAAAACGGAATGACCAAAATTGTATAGAATATGCAGTACTAAATGAGGCCATCTATACAGTATATATATATATGAGTACATTATACAATTTTAGCATATATATTGATGTTCAATCAGAAATTATAACAGTAATTGAGAGAGTACTGTACTTGATGACTTTTAGGAATCAATCAACATAATTACAGTCTCATGGATTCTAAATATACAATATACGTACAATTTCTTAATATAACACCAAAAACATGCATGATATATAATATAAATGCACATTTACTATCGTGAACTAAACATCAAACATGTTTGTATAAATAATTAAACTCTTGAGAATTAGAATGTGAATAAAGAAGCTCTATATTCAAAGATCTGTTGGCCAAATGTCCTCAATGAGTTCAAACTCCCCACTGAGGCAATGGAGATGGCTGGATTGGTCTGTGGTCTGACTTTGCAGCTGCTCTATCTTTTCTGGGAGTGTCCCATGGACAGAAAGGAGAGTGAAAGAGAGCTTTTCCTTTTGTGGGGCTCAGCAACTAGCATTGGTCCTCAGGCTGCTCTGCCAGAAGTTAGCATGGCTGAACGTCGGTCTTGAATAGTCTGTACACAGTTGTCTTCCTGGGTCTAGCTGCAAGGTAGACATGTGAGAGAACTCAGTTCATCCTGGCTATAGCCTGATACTGAATATGCTTGGATATTCAGGATGTCAACAAAAAAAGAGTCCAACTGTCTTATTTCGTTGATCAGGTGAAAATAACAGTGGGTTTGCGAACTTGTGTGAAGAAACGGAAGATTTCTTCTGTTTCAAAATAATAAAATTATAACGTGGGCAGTATTCTGTACTCTACTGACTCACTTTCTTGGGCTTGCATCTTGGATAAAAGTTTAAGTTCTGACTCCGACTGCTTGTAGTCACATGGTTAGAATAGTCAGATTGCTAGTTCAGCCGGAGAGAGAAGAGGGGCTATGAAATATGAGTTGGGTTCTTGCTTTTAAGGTGCAACATCACAGCTGTTGATTGGTTAAGATGCTATCAGGTATATTTCTGGTGCCCACTCTGCAGATCCCCATTGGTTGATTTTCATTTTGGTGATGGACAGTGACATTGAACCCATGGTCTTGGAACGAAACAGCATGCAGACTTAATGGAGCCCATCTGCACAATATATTATTAAATGGTTCATCTTGGATACAGCTTAAAGATGTTTTTTATCAGAGGGGTCTCTTAGCTACATTGCTGTGTACTTACACAGAGGACCATGCTGCTTGGTCAAGGCAACACAAAGATGATTAGAAATCTTTAATAACACTTAACTCTAAGTGTAATTATAGAACTTGATTCTACACATATCACATCTTGATGTAAATTCTACACTTTTGATTATATATCCTAACATTTTATTTGCCCTTTTAGTGGCTTCTGCACATTGTTTAGAAGGTGTAAATGATGTGCCAACATGAACCCTTCAGTCCTTTTAATAAGTAGCATCTTCTAGTTCAGTGTTTTTGCCATCTAGTATTTACCATATCAATCCTGGATTCATTTGACAATGCAATTGGCATATTCCGTAAAAAGTAGTTAGAATGATATAGAGATGTTATAGATTTTGTTTTTACTACACATAAATCAATTAAAAATGATTCAATTATTAAAATATCCCCTATCAGTCACCAGTAGCTGCTTACTGTATGTAAGTATACAAACTGCTGTCATTCTTCAAAAACGTCTACACGACGAAGTGTAAAAAATGCATGTATGGTACAGTACTTTATATATGTGCTAATTAACATGCTATTGCTATTATAAGGAACAGTAAAATTATTGAAGCAATGTAAATTTATGTTCTAAAATCTATTATTATTTGTTTAAGCTTATCGTTTGAAAAAGTGCCCAGCTCCACCATCTGTTGAAGAAGCAGAATTTTTTTCAGAAGACCAGGATTATGAAATAGGTACATTTTATGCAATTCAGTATGGTGAATGTAGCAAGGTAGTTCAAATCCTAGATATTTTCATATATCGGTGGGAGGAGTGGTAATTGCATTTTAAGAGCATGCTTCAGTTTGTAAATTTAATTTTTTACTTTAAGATGTCATAATTTACTGGAGGTTAAAATCACACATAAAGAACAGATAAAAGAGAGCATGTTTACCTTTTTAGTTCGGATTAGATTTATTCTTACATCCAGTGAATAATTATTTGTAATTATATTATAATTATTTACTTAAGTCTAGTAAAATTGTTTCTTTGCTCTTTTGTGCTCAGGGGACATTGTGAAGTATCAGTGTTTCCCAGGTTTTACACTGGTGGGAAGTGAAGAGCTCACCTGCAAACTGAACTCTCACCTGCAGTTTGAGGGGCCACCTCCTTCCTGTGAAGGTAAGAGAAACATTGATGGTGAACACAACGATTTGCTGAGGTGTTTTAATAATAGATAACGTTGCATAAGAAAAGCCAAATGCCTTCATTCTTCTTTCTTGCTTTTTTTATTTCCTGCACTCATCATATTGATTTTAACACCTCCTGTACTTTCTGTAGTTTGCAGTTCTGCTGAATTTACATATATTTGCATACATTCGTTAAAGACAGCAAACTTCTATATTATTCCCAGTAATCAGTAAAGTCATGAACGTATATTTTTCACTTATTTTTTGCTGTTCTTAGCAGTAAAAAAGAAGTGTTTGCAGAAAGAAGGAATTGTCTTATTTGGTTTCAATATTATTTTAATCTCTCTAATCTCTCTTTTTGCCCTGAAGGAGAAAATGCCTGATTGCTGTCATTTTAATTTGAGCCTGTTATTCAAACAATTAGAGACTTAACAAAGGTTTTAATAGGCTTGATGCCCCATTTACACGTTACATTACTAATTACAAAGGCGGCATCATAAATCATGCAGGTGACAGTCAGTACTGAAACCCCTTAATGAAAACAAAAAATAACTGACTAATGATTTTGCTTCAGGTTGAAGGACATGAAGGCAAGTAAAGAAAAAGAGGTTTCTGTTATGTTCTAGGTGCTCTGCAGTGTCAGAGGATCTCGGTTTCTCTATTGGAATGCTCACACACTTAATACTGAGTAAAAGAAAATCCAGCTCAAATTCAGTTTTTTTTTATGAAGACAGGTTTCCATTCCTTGTAATTCCTTTTCACAAGAGTAACACCAATATGATCTTTGATTCTACACATGTAATCAGTTAACCTATACTCTTCAAGGTTAGTTTTTCTTATTTCTGCCATGCATTTCCTGTCTTGTTTCTAGCTCAGTGTCCATTGAATGAGGAAAGGACTGCATCATCTGGAGTGATTCTCAGCCCAGGATATCCTAAAACCTACCCAAATTCTCAGACCTGTTCCTGGACTATTAAAGTGCAAACAGGTTATACCATCTCAATTTACATAGAGATGTTTCAGAGTGAAAAACAGTTTGATGAACTGGAAATATTTGATGGTAATTCTCTTTCCTCTTATCAGTATTCTAAATGTCTTGCATCTGGTTTAATAAAGGATACAGTTTGTGGTGCAGCTACCTGTATATATTGTTTTCCCTTTTCACCTCTAGGGCCTGCAGGCGAAAGCCCCTTGCTTGTTGCACTCAGTGGAAACCATACAACACAACTAAATTTTACCAGCAAAACCAACCAGTTGTATCTGAGGTGGTCAACAGATCATGCAACTAGCAAGAAAGGATTTAAAATACGCTACACAGGTTTGTGAAACAAACCTATGCATTTCAACTCAATATGCAAAAACGTAAAAAATAAGACTTAAGTTGCACAATACAGTGCTTAAAAAAGAAAAGGCTATATTCTGTAGAAAAAGGGAATAGTTGTCTCCCTTTTTCCAGACTGGATGTCAGAGAGGATTAATACTGTAGATTAATTGTTCTTCTGTGATGGTGTCATTTTGAATCCAGTTTAGGCCAAAAGGATTTCAGCCTTTCCAAGTTGTGTCTCATTAGGCAGTTGTCCAGTCACAAGTCTCACAGGAGGATTGGCTAAAGTAGAGGTCAATGATCTGCTAATGAATTGTGCTGCATAGCTGTCAGGTTGTTCACCTGAAGTGGTCCCTCTTAGTTTGCCTTTGGGTGTGATCTGGTAAAATACACATGGTCACGATCACTCTCCCTCCCTTAACTGCTCTCTTTTGTCTTCTTGCTTAGTTTCACACTTTGTTTTGGCTTAATCTTCCAGTCATCAAAGGCAAAGCCATCAGAATTAAATTTAAACAGTGTGATCAGTTTATCTGTCCTTTTGTCAAAATCCATCAATGGATTGAATGCTGTATTGTATTCTTTTTTTCCTAATTAAGGAATGATACAATCTGAGCTGTATTAACTGTTTTGATTTTTAAAGAATTTGATTTGAATTACTGTCATGATGAAAGTGAAAATTAAACATCCAGAAAATATTAGGATGGTTATTACAATTATCTCTCCTATTTAGAAGTACTGGAAACATTAGCTAGATTAAAAGAGTGTGCCTTTAAAATGTTCAGCACCTGCCCACTTTTGTAATTAAATTTCTTGAAAATCTTTTAAGTAATTTAGCAAAGTTTAACATGAGAGTCTAGTACTGTATACTTCCTCTTGATCTTTACAAAACTGCTATGGGAGCTGAATCCTTACCTAGTAAAAAGGCTTTTTTTAATGATCAGTACTTTCAAATTTATTTTTTAACAGTCCATTGGGCTTTGATCAAAGCAAATTATAATTTGATGCTGCCCTAGGTTTTAAAATATGGTCTAGTCAGCCAGAACCTGGAGCGAACCTTTTAGGACTATTAATCTGAAGGATGTAGGTGCTGCGTATGGATTAGAGCATGTAAAAAAGGAAACGATCTAACTTAAAAGTGCATAATGTACTATATATTGGTTTTTGGACTTAAATGTCCAAAACTGAGGTTTAGCTTTTATTAAGAGTTCTTACAAAGCTACTGTAAGAACTCTAACTTGGAAAACGTTTTGATTTTGGCTTCCATGCCTTCACGTTTGCTTTTAATACATTTGCTAGTGTATACTGTACATACAGTATAACCCCCTGCACTTGATTCAATAGAGAAAGATTGCTGATTTTCCAGAATTTCTAACTATACAGTTATACGGTGCCTTGCAAAAATATGCAGACTCTTGCACACTTTTCATGTTTTGTTACTTAAAGCTATTCATATGTGTTATGTACAGAACCAACACCACACCGTCCAAGCAAGAAACAAAAGAAAATAAATAACTTAATATGGAATGAAAAAATGAAAGTCATAACTGCATAAGTTTTAAAATTACTCTGGCAAAATTAATTCAAATGCACACAATTACTTTAAAGAACCTCACAATAAGTCGATTGTGCGGTAACAGTCATTCACGTGATTTCAGAATAAATGCACTTACTCTGTAAGGTCAGGGTGTGAATTTCAAACAAATATTCAACAATGAAGACCAAGGAGCTCTTAAAACACCTCAGGGATAAAACTGTACAGTATAAAGGCACAGATGAGGAGAAAAGTATGAAACTTATCAAAGTGGAAGGTACACTGCTTCAATCACCCTGTCCCTCCTGATGTAGCAGGCAAGGAGGGAACTGGTTAGGACTTCAGTGGCTGAGTGTTTCATTAAACTTTTTACTGGTCACCTATTCTAATCTGTACTTTATTTAAAATGGAATTGTAAAGAGCCTTGTAAAAATCCCTGATTTTTATTGTTATAATTTTTAGATTTTTATAAAATGTGTACTGTATGAACAGTAAGGGTTCCCTAGCTCTCTTAACTCCAGTGATGTCTGATTTAATCTTATTTCTGTAAGACAAAGAGAGCCGTAGGAGGTGGAGCCAAGGTTTTTATTTCACTTTTTAATCATAGATATCAAAAATTAATTAAGAGAGTCACACAAATTGCCTTTTCTGATTCCAACTTTCTATTCTATTTCTTGTAATTTAGCTTCATATTGCAGTGTGAACAGCGTTCCAAGAAATGGTGGCGTTTTCAACAGAACACAAGGGAACGCAGGCAGTAGATTGTACTATTTCTGTAATGCAGGCTACAGGCTTGTTGGTCAAAGTAATACAACCTGCAAACTCCATCAAAATGGATTATATCACTGGGATTCCCCAGTTCCACTCTGTCAAGGTAACAGCTTTTTTAATGACCTGTATGTATATTTCATTTCACTTCATTTAAGAAATTAAATAAACCAAAATTGCATGTTGGCTCCAGTTATATTTAAAACACTATACATTTTGAGTATTTTGGCACTTGTTAATCTCATTCATCAGATTAGTCACCAGTGTGACTAATCAATTTTGTTTCATAGCTCAGTGAATTCGATGTATCCAGACAACCTTCAGAGGTGGTTGTTCCCTTAAGGTAGCATCCCTGTTGCTAATAAAAGCTTGACAGCAAGGCCCTACATACAGAATGACAAGAAAAACAAATTTGAATTAACTTTATAGTAACTTTATATGTTGTTTTGTGGTCACTGTTCATTCATTTTTCCACTAATTATCATAATGAGAGAATATATTGCCATAAAAAAACTATTGGGTTCAATTAGATCTATCTAAATTTAAGATAGATCTATCTGTCTTTTTTAGGGAGTGACTGTTTCAATTTCTTGGGTATATTTTCGTTTTTTAGGAAACTGAATTGAAAAAATTAGATCGACTTTCATTTGATAGTTTTGGGATAATAGAATGGGAACAAATCGGAACCGATACAATCTTTGGTATTCATCACATATCAAAGTTTTATAGAAGAAGTCAAACGACATTCTACATACAGTAGCTCAGCCTTCACTATCATTCCATTTCCTGACCAGTATTGCTTTATCTTTTTTGATTACATTAATTGTTGTTCCCATTACTTCATTGGGTGTTATTAAACTCTGCCTACTTTTAATCTAATTTGGAGACGGATTCAATATACAGTATAATGCTACATCCTGCTGTGAAAGCCGATTACACAAACAGACCATTATACGTGATATTAACACATAAATTAAATTTAGTTTGGAACATAAAGCAACCTTTTTTGCATGTAGCTACTGTATAAACGGAACACAAAATAATTCAGCTAGTTACCCATTCTTTCTTAGTTAAACACACTAAACATGATGTTCAAATGGATGGTGAAAATTATTAACTTCTGTATCCCTTACATTAGAAGAGAAGAGAGGAACTTAATTAGGCCAGTGATAAAAATGTTTTTTGTAAGTATGACGAGTACTTTGAAAACATTTTAGATCAAGGTTTTGGAAATGCAAATATTGGGTTTCTTGAATGTTTTTTTTGTGAGGCAGTCTGCCTCTTTTAAATATGGGGGGTCACATTATGATAGCTAAATCATAATAATCATAAAGGCCTTTGTGAAACTCACCGCTAAATAAAACCTTCCGTTTTTAAAGAAAAGCTGAACTTTTTTATATAGTTTTAGATTTCAAACATTGCCATCTAAAATTGTATTTCAAGAACTGGACTTACTTTGTTCCTACTTTCTTCCAGATTAACTGTGTATAGGTAGCACCCCTGAGTATAATACCTTTGTTTTTGAGTGGTTTTGTTATTTAGATTTCTCAGTAACGTTTGAGAAATCTTTTCTCTGTTTCCTTTTAAAACAATGAAGAAGGGTCCTTAGTGCCTCCTCCAGTAAAAGTGGTTGAGTAGTTGTTGTTTATTATAGTGTAGACACCACTGAATATAATCAGGGTTACTCCATTAGCTAGCTGGGAAACCCTGAACTGCGTCACAAAATTTCCACATTATTTAATGATCATAATCTGCGTAGATGAACAACAGCCTGTCAAGCCTACAGTATGGCATGATCTGTGATTATCTTATTATTCAATGCAGGATATAAATATCAAAATCTACTGTACATCCCTACTCTGTTGCAGCTTCCAGTCTGTGATTCCAGTTTATAGAAACTAATTCTTTGGTACTGTATAACAGATGGCATGATCATATCAGTGTGAGCTTGGACTACTGTATGTTATTAGCTGGGTGGTATAAGCGTCTGGGATGCCCCTGTACAACAGAGATCATTGAATGCAGTAGAATGCAACTTGCAGTGTTGTCAGGAAAAGCCACCATCACTTCTGCAGTCGATGCTAAAGAAGCTGTGGGTATTCTGCAACAAAAATGGTGGGTAGACATGACCGTAATTGTTTCAGAAGGGAGCACGAACCGTGTCATTTCGTAGCAGTAGTAAAGACCAGTGGATTGACGGCTGTTAATTCTAAGTTGATTTTTTCTAAATAAGCGCTGTTAAGGCAACCTTGTCTATCTGACCTTCCCATTGTGAACTAATTCTGCTACAAAATTAGGTGGCGTTACCATTAAACTTGGAAAACTGAATGCTCAAAGCATTCAATGGCAAGAGCTCTGGATTCAAGTGCAATGCTCGTATCCTTATTTATTTTCATAATTGGAACCACTCAGTGTAATCCTGTTATTTAAAGGCAGCACAGTATTGACCAATTAGGCCTAATCATGTCTTAAAGCCAGGAAAGAAGACAATGTTTTTCATTCTGGGGTCATATTCCCTCTCTTGAGTGCTTTGTTAAGATTTTTAAAACATGCTAGACCATTGTACTCCTTTAATTTATTATGTATAGTTTTCATTACCTACTTTTCAATACAGTTGGAAAAGATATATACTTTTTTCTGCTTAATTGGTCCCATTGCTTTGCTTTAAAAATAAAAATATTGGTGGGGTTTAAGCTTTTTTTAATTAAGAAGAAACAGGAGATAGAATATTTTTTTAAATATTCTTCAGATAAGAACTTTTGTTTAGAACATGTTTGTTTTCCACAACAGATTGTAAAATAATATCTATTAATCTTGGATTTTAACATTTTGGGGTTTCATTTTTAGTTTACATTTTTCAGGACCTGAAATCCACTTGCACATGTATAAATTTCCTTCTCGTTTTCTCAATATAACCACAGCCGCTAATAAAACGTCCCTCCATCATATCACCTTTACTAATACAACCGTTTTTATCCTGCCTTACTTCTGAGAAGACAGCATAATCCAATTGCCCAAGAATAGAATATGTAGTATTAGGATCAATTAAAAATTAAATCAACAAACTATGCCCACAATAGTTTCATTCCAGTTAAAAACATGTGTTTTTATGACAGCTGATCTACATACAGTATAGAAAGAAAAAAACATTTGACTTGTAGAGCAACTGTGTTCAAAAGGGTGATCTAGTGTTCTTCCTTTTTCTCCACCTTTCCAGCTGTATCTTGTGGGATTCCTGGACCTCCGGGCAATGGTACCTTCCATGGGAATCAGTACACTGTGGGTAGCAGAGTTCACTACCAGTGCAATGAAGGCTACCGACTGGAATCCACTCGTTCCAGCACCGCTGTCTGCCAGGAAGAGGGCACATGGAGCAACAGAGGACAGCCTCCTCAGTGCTTACGTAAGAAATCAAGATGTTTTATGTCCAAAAACACTTCTGTTTCTAAACTTCGTGAGGTGTATCAGCTTCGATAACAAGACTTAGCTTATTCCAGACTCCAACAAAGTATATTTAAAGATTAGCTCATTTTAAGTTTTTTTTTATTAAAAAAAGATTCGGCTGTACACAATCGATTTAATTGGAGTGAAGAATGATGGATAGACAGGATCATCAATGCCAGAAACACTACAGTAATAAAAAGCAAGTGGTTAATGTATTGATGGGTCTCCCTTCAGGCTTGGATGTCACCATAGATATCCATTTATTTCTTTTGACATATCTAGAGCCATACAGTTCTTTCATCTAACCATTAGGTCCCATTTCAAGAGTTATCAGAAAAAATGAATATTGTGTGAAACTTACTTTTCCTTTTCCTTTTGTATTTCTACAATGCACTTTGTTAACTGTGAGATATCAGATACTATACTATTTACAGTATACTGTACATAATTACTGTATCGTTCTGATCTTAAACAGCTGTCAAGTACATTGAACAATTATTCTGCTTGTTTAATTTGGCATAATACTTTTAAATATAAAACAAGATCTGTTTGGAAGATCTCAACTGTCATATATCAGAACCTAGTTAATTTCTACTGTATTCATTTATACTGTAGAATGATCTCACCTTTTAAGCAGTTGTAGATGTCCATTTCCATATATTATTTAGAATATTCACACCTTAACCTTGCATGCAAACTGTTAGCTACTTGTCCACTCCTAAGGAAATTAAAATTTGTAGTTTTGAAATTAGACCCACAGATTGTCAACAGGTAAAACCAGAACCCCTCAATTTGAAATTGTTTTATTACACAGAAGCTGCCTTGTGAGCCAGTGTGTAAAATATAGATTTTGTGGTTTACTTTCTGTATTTTTCTGTGAAATAAACTGTCAGTTAACACATGCCTATTCTTTGTTTACAGCGGTGGAATGCCCAAATATTGAGACCATCCTATCGGAACATATGGTCTGGAGGTTGATTTCAGGATCTCAGAATGAATATGGAGCCCAGATAATGCTAAGCTGCACTCCTGGCTATTTCTTGGGTGGTCGGAGAATTGTACAGTGCCTAGCTAATGGCACCTGGAGTGGAAGTGAAGAGAAAGCAGCATGCAAAAGTAAGGATTAGAGACATCTTATATTTGGATGGACTTTGATTTCTCTCAATGCCATAAGAACTTCAGGGTCATAATGGGTAATGCTCCAAGGAATATAACAGTGCCCCCTCCATTACAAGGAATGTGGTACATTAGGAGGTTTTTCAGATATAGAATAATTGTATTTTTTTTAGACAGAACTGACTTTGCAGACCTGTGAAAACAGTCTCATGGCATGCACTGCAACAAGAAAGCATCCTGGGTTGATAATAAACAGTGAATATCCCACTATTCCCACCAGTGATGACTGATTATTGTGGCATTCTCATTAAGTGCCTGAAAATGTATTTTTTCTTCAGAAAATGTGTGCCATTGGTGAGCCATTCATGTAGAGATTTTCCATTATAACGTACTATATAATATATAATAACTGAAGCAGCAGTGTGAATAAGTAACGGACGAGGATTAATGTTCTAGTCAAGTATATATATATTTCTAGATCAGCACATTTTTTCATATCTGATCTCATAACACAATCAGCATCTTGACTAAAACTGCACAAAATATTCTAAATGAGATTTTACATTTACATTATAAAACCTTAGCACAAGTTACCTAAATTTAATTTGTCATATACTATATACTTAGGCATTTTGGTTTTTATTTCTTCCCTACATTTTAATGAGTGCAAAGAATCTACACAAGACAGACTCGTATTCCTTTTGCCATTTGTGTGGATCATGTTTCACTTAACAATTATGTCAAACCAATCCATGACTAACCAGTCCATGACTTTATCTAAGTTATTAATGAATTCCCTTCTTGCTTTTTTTTAATTTTAAGCTAACATTTAGTACTGTTATTTACAAGAACTGAGAGTACCTTGGTCCAGATTTTTACAGAACAAGGAAATAGATCTGAACATTGCAAACGAGGCAGAAGTACTGTAGTGGTAACGGCACACCGATTCTTATGAAATCTTATGAAGACCCTTATCAGGATAATATTACAAAAACGGAGTAGGCCTAAAAGTATATGATTTTGATTTTAGAAATTGCTAATGAAAGAGATACCATGGTAGCATGCTCCTACTATACTTAGTACCACCATCCACGGTCTCCTCTGTGTATTGTAATTGTGTTATATCTTGTGTATTCTTTTTATTTATTGTTCTTGTCATTCTGTAAAGCACTCTGAGAAGCCACCTTTAAAGGTGTTATATATAATAGTTTATTATTCTTTTATGTTATCAACAGTGGTGGTTTGAAAGTGTTTTGGAAGTTCAATTGTAAGAATTTTGTGTGTGTTTCCTGTTTCCTGTTTAATTTGTGCCCCCTTTTCTAAATTGGTAAATATGCCCATGTATTTGAACAGTGCCTTTATACCATTATATTGGAGGTTGGTGACCTCAGGAAGATTCACTAGTGGTGGAACCAAGTCCTCCGCAGCAATGAAACAAGGTTTTGTGTAGATGTGGTGCAGAAGTGCAGAATGATATGGCAATGGAGCAATTGATTATTAGGTCAAAGTGTAATCGTTTTTGTAACTCAAGAGCTTCATTGAAGTTGTGGACAGCAATGTGACTGTCATTTCTACAGGTTCATCCTGACATGAGAAATATTTAATTTAGAGAGACGTACTGTAAAGGTGTACACATGTTCTTGTCCCATTTTCTCTCCCTTCTGAAATCACATATTTAAATCGCTCTGCGTAGCAATACATACCGACATTGAACCTACTCCAGGTAACGGCAAGGACAAGGCAAGGTAACGAAGGACTACTTCATTTTCCACATGGCTTCTCTCCAAAGTAGCTTCATTGCTGTTTTCAGGAAGCACTGACAAGTGCTGAATATTGGTGTGCCTAAAACATTTCTTAGCCGCATGATACTGTACCACCTTTAAGGTATCAAAAATTACAAATGTAATACTCCAATTGCCAGGTCTGGTTATTTCTGCTCTAGGGAAGTTAGATATTTTTGAAAGAAATAACTACAACAGGCCCGTGATCTGTTTCTGAGGTGTGTGTGACCAGGTACAGCAGTGCCCATATCGACCACATTCTATTTGTTATTTGCAGTCATTTCTTGTGGAGAGCTGCCGTCTCCTCCCAATGGGAATAAGATTGGCACCCTAAGCACCTTCGGAGCCACGGCAATATTTACGTGCAACACTGGATACACCTTAGCAGGATCTCATGTGAGGGAGTGTGGTGCCAATGGGTTGTGGACTAGTTCTGAAACTAGATGCCTTGGTAAGAACAATCTGTGTATATTCAGTTAGCTTTCTAGATTTCCAATGGAAATCCCAACCATTTAAAAAAACGTATGTTTATTAGTTTTTATTTATTGGGTTTTATAGTTCTATTATTCTTTCATCTGATTCCTAGTTTATGTCATATAGTGTGTAACTTTTCAGTCTGCCCACAGAGATCTCATTCACATCTGTTTTAAATAGATCTGTTCCATCAGGAGATACAGTAGATGCAACAGATTTATAGCAAATGAGTCATTTCATAGAATTTCGTAATTAAATAGATGCCCTTCAGCTACAGGTTTCAGCTTCAGATAAAATACTTTTTTAAAAAAATAGTGTATTTTAAATGACTTATTGCTGCCTACATTCTGGAATGCAGAGCAAAGTCTATCTCAATAATCCAAACAGCTGGAAGTCTCAGAAGTTTGAACTCTCAAACAGAGAAGACCACTGCAAAATAGAAAAGTCAGTGTCCCCTTTACCGAAGATGTTAGTAAAATAAAAATATTTGTAGATTTTGTGTCAGTGATTCTAAAATCGCCTTCCACTTTGGATTTTAGAATAATCTGAAATATCTATTTTTTTAATGATGAAGTCCATTGTTCTCTTAAAGGTGTTATTGAAAGACCTTGACAATTCCCCTCAGAGGGCTGAACATTTCTGCATGAAACTTTTTGTATCACCTTAATAGCACACAGGATTAAAACAGGAGGGAACATCTGAAAAGATATTATGCTTGTTTTTCTGCTCATTGCCAGACTGACTGTTCTTTCTAATGCTCAAAGTGTTCCGTTAAATCACAAAGTTGAAGAAGAATTTATTGAGAACCACAAACTGTGCTGCAAGCCATTTAGGGATAATATTTAACAATAAGGTACAATGTTATATGTATATTTTTTTATCCATAGCTGGGCATTGTGGGTCTCCTGAGCCAATCACTAATGGACACATTAGTGGTGATGGATTCAGTTATCGAGATACAGTAGTCTACCAGTGCAACCTTGGTTTTAGACTTATAGGCACGTCTGTTCGGATTTGCCAACAAGACCACAAGTGGTCAGGAAAAGCTCCTGTCTGTGTTCGTAAGTATTGTTCATTTCCATCTGCAAGTCCTTTAACCATTACAGAAAACACTGCATTGATGAGAACAGACAGAGACTGTTGCCTCAGCCATATTGAAAACAATTCCAGGAATACTATGTTTAGCACAAATAATATTTAAATAGCATGTACTGTATGTTGGTCAAAAATGGATTTGGAAATATTAATAAAATGGAAGACACATCTTATTTTCCAAAATGACAAAGCCTGCCCTACATTGATACCTTACAGCATATTTGAACAAGTCTCTCTAAGGTTCTTGTGAGATGTCTGTGGTCGTTGATGCCTCACAGACTGTAAGTGTCTGTCAGGACAGAAGGTGGTCACACCTGCCAGTAGGCATCACTGATCATATCTGTGGCATCTTGTGCTTTACAGTTAGTCCAAGTCAGTGCTAACTACACTTGTTTCTTCTGCTTATTTTATAGATAAGTTGAACCAAGCAGGGAATTTGCTTTATGAACTTAATTGATCGCAGTATACTGTATATACTGTATCTCTCATTACTGTGTACGTACTCTGTATTTTATTACAGCGATAACATGTGGTCACCCTGGCAACCCAGCAAATGGTCGTACCAATGGAAGTGAATTTAATCTGAACGACATTGTAAACTTTACCTGCAATACAGGGTATTTACTACACGGCGCTCCACGAGCACAGTGCCGAGTGAATGGGCAGTGGAACAGCGCCCTTCCAATGTGCAGAGGTAAGCTCTATGGTTATTTTCTGCAGCGGTCAGAGCGATATTTTTATTCTGATAGGCCTTGCACTGTATTTGGAAAGAAATGCATTTGTAATCCATAGCAAAATGCTTGTTTTTCTTTTCCATCGGTGCGCCAAAGTGGCTTATGAATAGAAAATAGAAAATGAGGCAAATGCTAACTTCATCAAAGGCAGCCAAATGAGCAGTCATCTGCATTGCACAGTGTTACGATATGGCAGCCAGACTTTTTCATGATAATCTGTGATTCTAGACTCCAATTTGAATTACGTCAAACAATGGATAGGAAAAAACTAAACATACACTGTACATTTGAAATGTCATATCTATTTTCTAGAACAAATTAAATATCTTAAAATATATATATGCAGATTTACAACGTTATATTATAGAATTAAAATTAATTCTGATTTAAATTTTAATGTTACGTGAAGGTGATTTTAAGAAAAATGAGAGGACATTTCAATACTATGTTAATGACACAGACGCTTATCCCATCCAAGGTTGTACCAAGCAATTAGTTTCACTACTTGTTTTGACTAAATCTGCATAGTGACATGTTGAATAAATGATTTAGAGATTCTGCTATAATTGTATATTCACAAATAGGTATACTATTATTAAGAAATACACTTTAAAATTACATTTATTAGAATTATGGGATCTGTTTATTTAGTTTTTTAAATATACTTTTTATATTTATAATATATTTAATATATAAATATATTTTTTAAAAATGTTTTTTTCCTTCTGTTGTCCTGACAACTTTGGGCTTGTTCTCATCAAGACAACAGCTGTCCATTGATTAATGTGAGAGCAAGTAGCTTATCTCCAAGACTTGCTCATATTTGTGACTGTAAAAACATACAGCAGCTTACTGTATTTGTTTTGAAAAATTGTCTTTTTGCGTTTTGAAATACATCTTGTTCTTCACCCCAGATGAGAAGTTGGGTACAGATTACAGCCAGGCAGAATTAGTATCCGTTTAGTGAAATGCGATGGTTATAAAAGGACACATAGCAGGATATGGTGCATTTTTTCATTGTCCCGTTTTCTGTTTCAATTCTTAAATGTTTGTACATATATTTTTTTGCAGTCTAAGGGGATGTTAAAAATATAATTTATTTATAATGTACAGTCTTTACTTTTCCAATATGAAACTGTATGACAGCCACGTTGAACAAAAAATCAGGCTGCATGAGGTTTAAAATTTTCTTTGAAAATTGAGCAGTGTGCATCTACTAAGTGAGCAGTATCCTGCAAGCAGCCACAGAAAAAGCTTGACTAATGTTAATCCATTAAGTAGCCTACCTCAACTCTCCTTGAAATGCATGAAGTAATTTTTCTTTTAAAGATGTTTCTAAACATCTTTCTAAGACCTCCTGCACAAGTGCTAAAAAGATTGTGAAACCGGTCTTACATCCCCTTTTCACAATTAGTGACGATAATGATTCTTAATAATCATCAAAATAGCTACACATAACCACACAAAATCCACAAGGTGTATTTCACATACTGTACAAGTGGAACAGACCTTGCAATATCAAGTACTGTAATTGCCTTTTGTGGTATTATGCTTTCAGATCTATGTAATCTATGCCACTCATGGACTTTGCTGGCAATCACTAATTACTTAATTGACTACATTCAATGTACTGTATGCATTCCCTGTTTCTGAATTAAGATCTTACAATTACTTGTTTTATTTAACTACCTGTATAATTGTATTGCTATTAACACCAAGGGAGAACATGTCAATAGCAGGTGCCAGATTATCAGTGTGTTTTCCCTGTCCCTGGAGGTTTAATTGAGACTGCCAGAGCTCATTTTCTTGGCAGCTGTCGCACAGTGAAGGAAATCTGTTGTGTTTCCCCCTAGACCTGATTTAAACTTTAGTCTTTTCAAGCGAAGGGCAATGACCAAATACTCTTGTCCAGTCAGCTGTACCAGGAAAAAAACACTGGCTTGTTTGCTGCTTAGCAATCTTCTGGCTTACAGGCAAAGAAGCAGAAAACTCATATGCAGAACCTTCGATTTGTATTTTTACTTAGTGTGGAAAATAAATTGGATAGAATTTTACAGCATATGTTCTGTGCTCTACTCCAGTATTTTATTAAGCAATAACCAATGCCAAGTCCTTTGCCGTTGTTCTTTTGTTCATATTGGTTAATGCACATCCTCACATTATAATTCAGTGGTAAAAATTTATAGTTATTCCTGAATATGAATTGATATATTCCCTGGAGAAACTGATGCTGTTGAGAAACGAATTCACATTTTAATATATTTCTTCTTTCCTGCTAGGGATACATTTCTTGGTTCTTTTGTTTGATTTATAGATAATTCAGTTAAAATTACTCTAGGATCCCTTCAGGAACCATGCAATTTTGGTACAAATGTATTCCCATTACTTATTTCAGTTGTATTTATTTTCATCCTTTTTCTTTGTTTTACATCCAGTGTGCACTGTTTGGAAGTTCTATCACAGACTATATATACAGTTCAACAACCATGTGAATGAGTCAAATTATAGCTTTATAAAATATCTCAATAACAACTCAAAGACCTGTTAGATGTGATTGATAGATAGTGCTGTTATTGATTGTATTTGCAGTATACTGTATGGTTTGCTGTACACTCTGGCATTTTTCTTGCTGTTTTCCATTTAAACGAACATGTCAAAAGTCCCACAGCTGCTGTAGAACTCACTCTATTGATCCTGCAGTTTTCCAAGTTTGCTTGTTACGATGTAAACACCGCATTTTATGTTGCAGTTGTAAACTGTTCAGATCCCGGGTTTGTGGAAAATGCTATCCGTCACCCTCAGCAGCATTACCCTGAAAGTTTCAGCTACAGGACCAGTATAATGTATCACTGCAAGAAAGGCTTCTACCTGCTAGGATCCTCCGTGCTCAGCTGCCAGTCCAATGGCTTCTGGGACAGATCTCTTCCTAAGTGCCTGCGTAAGTTTTTCCTTTACATTTTGGTGTCAAAATAGACTTGGTATTTGTTTTAGTTTACTGCATATATTCTTTTTTTTTTGATTGACCAGATAGATTTATAGTATGTAAGTTCAAGATGAAGTTCTCAGCACTTCAGCTACTGCTAATATCTTGTTTTACATCTTGTTTTAACACAATTCAGACTTTTGTAGGTCTGTAATTGTAAGCTCATTGTATACTGTGTATTTTATATGTTATTATAGGTACAGTATTATACATATGGTAAGAAATTTAAAAGCTTTTAAATGTTCCATTAATGTCAGTGGGAAAGATTGATGTTTTCATGAGCATTTGCTTTCTTTATAGGAATCAAACAGATAATGTATTTATATATAGAGGGGATCAATAAGAGCAGTAATAATATGCTTGTCTGACTCTTTCCCATGGGAAGTCATGAGTGCTTTAGCATAAGTTCTATCTTATTGAGCATCGTGTAATTTGGAAACAAATGATCTTTCTGCAAGTGACTTTAATATTTTAATTGGTTTTGTTTTGACACCTACAACTTACTTCATTTGAGATTTTAGTATTTTTATTCCTACTTGTGAAACGTCCATGTTAATTAACTTTCAGCAAATGAACATAAAATCACACATATTGTTGAATTAATCAAGGACATGCAAAATTTAAATTAACAAATCATATGCAACAGTCTGTGTAAATTTTTGTTTTTTTTATTTAATTTCTTTAAAATACCCTGAAACATGAGCTCCAAATCCAATATTATTATAAGTCAGATCTCATTTCAGGTATGTATTTTTCCCCCTTTAGTTAGCCAGATAAATAGAGGATTAGACAGTTTAACCAAAGAAAGATAAGTCAATTAAGAGCACATTTTTATTTACAGTGATGACTTAAAATGACCCCATAGCTAGAATATGAAAGTCGGAAAGACCAAGAGAAGTAAGACAAGCATTACATGTGTGTGTATTTTTTTATGATGTTACCCTTAAATGAGGGTAACACAATGACACATCATACACCCTCAGGTTCTGACCTGCAGAAGTCATCTTCTCAGTGTAATGTGGAGTGGGATCACTTTGTAATACTCAGATATACATAAGACAAACAACAGTGATCACCATGATACTAAATTCAAATAGTGAGCTTGTCATCTGCAGTCAAGATATTTCTACTTCAAGTCATGAGATGATTATGACAGAGGTTTCCTAAGCAATGGCACTGAACTGGACCTGGGGGCTTCTGTAAGCCAGGGAATTGTAGGCCTGAGGCAGGACATGGCCTGCTGGTGTGTGGCAGAGACTTGTGAGGTTCAGCAGGAGTTGAATTGCTTTGCTGTGGGCACTGTTGAATTCAAACACATGTACAGTATGGTCCTTATCTGCCTGTACAAGTAGTGAAGCTTAATAATTGATCATGTCAGATTGGGGGGGGGGTATAAACTAAAATGATCATGAACTGTGAGAGTCACTTGTCTTTCAAGTTAATTAATAACCTAATGATGACACATGGTGAGTTGTGGAAGATAATGGACACAAGTATAATTTTATTAATGTTTAAGTAACAGTATTATATAACTTTGTTTTTTTAAAAGTACTGAAATAACCAACAGGATAAAATGCCACATTCTTTCCACTCTTTCCCCCAGACCTTTGAATTTCCCTTTTATGTACTCAGAAAACAAAAAGTTTGTCAATAACTTTTAAAATACATATCTAATATACTGTATGTATATTCAAATTGAAATCCAGAGAACATTATATAAATAATACAAATGTAGTAAAATAAAGCTTAATAATGACCCTAGAATTTTCATAAAGAGTTTTTTTTAACTTCAGGTAGAAAACCAATAATTTACTGTACAGTAAGTTACTTACTGTGCATGACGATACAATTTACTCTAAGCAAATTGCTTTTTTTCTGGCAAACACTTCTTTTGTACCTTGCAGTAGAGTTAACAGCTGACATTAAGTCTCAGTTAATCTGAATTGTACAGAAAATGTTACATTTCTGATTGTTTTAGTAGATTCTAAACTTTAACAAGTGTTCACCCTTTGGGGTTTCTGAGGAAATGAATTGTTTCTTACTTTAGAGTTGGAGTTTCTGACACTTCAGTTCAGACTTCTTTTCTTTTCTTTTTCTGCATTGCAGCGATTTCATGCGGGGATCCTGGCACCCCACCGAATGCAGTCTTGTCTGGGAAGATATTCTCCAATGGAGCTGTGGTGCACTATTCCTGCAGCAGAGGTCGGACATTGATTGGAAATGCGACCCGGGTCTGCCAGGAAGACGGACGTTGGAGTGGGTCACCCCCTTACTGTTCAGGTACCCTTTAAGCCCGTTTAACAACAACAGGCCTAACATGGCAGAATAGAATGTTTTGCATTTAGGTTCAGCCTGGAGCACAGGAATTAGATCTTCCTGGACAGAACTGGAGCGTACAAAGAAATAACCCTACTCAGAGTATACACTTGGTCACTACAAACACTGAATAGTCTGTGTACTGGATGAGTACTCTGGGAATAGTACTTCTTGGTACATTGAGCCCTGATTAGTCCTTTTGAATGTCTTCTTCCAAGACATTATGGTGCCCAAGTGGTCTGGAATGGTGACAGCTGATGAGAAACTTGGTCTGGCCAATTAGCCCCTATGCTTTTCCTCCTTGTACTTTCTCAAAAAGGGCTATTGCAGTGGAAGTGCTGACATCTCAGTTTGTAAAATTATCGCTTTATTGTTTCCAGGATTCCCTTCCAACTAGGAGGGAAGAATCGATCCTACAGGAAGTTTCTCTCTACCTCTGTACTAGGTTATTAAGAATGATAATAATGTAAACTTAGCCACTAACCAGACAGCTCTTTGGGGAATTCTCTCCTGCTTGTTTCGCCACTTTGTAAGATAAAAATAGATTTTCACATTTTTGCAAGTTAATGAGTAGGAGAAACGGGCTCCAGAAAAACAAGTTCATAACTCTAAACATTAAAAACTTAGTTCAAGTTTGCAAATAATCCCTTTTTTATGGAATTATTTAGGACAGATGAGCAAACTTTTTATCCCTGGACTCAGCAGACATGGTTAAAAACGGACTAATCTTTACAATAATGCATAAAAAAGAGGTGTTCACCCATTTCTTAGGAATCGGAGTGCTTTTACTCAGCCATATCTATTTTCTAATTCTTAATTATGCTGACTTGAGACATCTAGATCTCTTAACTTTAAATTCAACGGCAAAAACATACAGCTTTCAGCTGGCAAGCTGGCTGTAAGTTAGCCAGATAACTGTTACATTTCATCTCTCTGTAATATTATTATAGAGCACGTTGAGCACGTTGAGCGATACGTTTATCGAATTGTTACAGAGAGATTTGCTGAAATGTAACAGTCCGCACTAGAGTTCACTGTGGGGCTCTTCTTTTAATCGTTTGTACAGGTGACAGTCCGGGCTTCTGTGGTGACCCTGGCATACCTCCTCATGGCTCCAGGCTTGGTGATGAATTCAGGACCAAAAGCCTGCTGAGATTCACCTGTGAAGCTGGATACACCTTGATAGGCTCTGCAGAGCGAACCTGCCTTCCCAATGGCTCTTGGAGTGGGGCTCATCCAGTGTGTGAAGGTGAGCCTAATAGTTTCTAATAGGCACTCAGAAAGATCAACAGATGATGGGATTTCAGAAAAAATGACATACATGTCCAATATTGACCACAAAAATAACAGGACCATCATGATTAAGATTATCTAAGGTGCTTGTATTGTTCTAATGGGATCTTTATAACTATTTATTTCTTAGTATGGCCAGTCATTTTCTAAAAAAACACAGCAAAGAAAGCCATGATTTGATTATTTCACCTAGAACACTCATACTGTATGTACAGTATGTGGGAAAAAAAAAGATATGTAATGATTGAACTGCAGTCATTTTTTTTTCTTTTTGGGGAAAAAAAAGTAGACATTACATTATAAATGATAAATTTGGTATCCCAACATAAATAATGTAAAATTATCAAAGGGAAACTAAAAAGACACTAAATGTATTCTATTATTCTATCATGTATTCTATAAAAATGGTCTCTATTTTTATGCTATCATAAGTCAAAATCATAAGACTGCAGTTAGGAAGTTAAGACAAACCAGTCCCAGTTTACTCCAAGAAAGCACAGAGGTTAAAAATGGCACAAACCATGAAGTACTGCAAAAAAGGTGCAATTATTTTTTTCTTATTTGACTATAATAAAGGGACTTTTGAACCTGGCACCGAGACTTTAAACTGTAAGCATTCGGTTTTTATTTTTCTCTTTTTCCATCCAGTTCCCATTTGTTTGTCTGAACACAATGAAAAGCATGTTGCTATTAGTATGACGGAAATGTAACTTGTAAACAGCTTCAGCCTTCAGTGAACCATCATTGAGAATTAAGATGTCATATGAGTACTCAGAAATCCCTTTGCATGAGAAAACAACCATAGCAGGCCAGGAAAATCTAGGTTCTGGTGATTGAATTCAGCTTGTGTTTTAATCCTGCAAGCTCTCAGTGGCAAAGATATTGTACTGTAGATGAGGGCGCATCACATGACATGACATTTATACCCCACCCCCCGGCCCAATCAATTGCTAAAAATTGCACAGTCAGTGTTTAATTAATGCCATCCTGACTCACCAGAATTCTAGTCTACTTTAAATTGAGCCAAAATCAAACCTTTAAAAAATACTGATTTATTTTCTGTAACACTTAGTAAAATTTAAGTATTGTTATGCTTACAGTATAAACTATGTTACTCATCTCTCTCTTCATCTCTTTCTTCATTGTGTCTTAATTATGGTTGTCTCAACTACTGCAGAAGCCTCAGTGTTCACTGTTCAGACACTGTTTTTTTTCTTATGTTTTCCAGTCAAAACTGAAAGACATGCTTATTTTTATGTATACAGATTGCCTTGCACTGCTTTGTCCTTTCCTTTCACAAAGCCCCTAAACTTAATCCGGCATAAAATATCAGATATTAATATTTCAAACAAGGCAGCTGCAACAATAGCATCTGTGCCACTTTAAATGACAAGCTATGTTATGTTGGCAATGTGTCGGAATATTTTGAAATTTATTAATTTTATATGTGTTCTGAAGATTTTTTCTCTTTTGTTCCACTGTGAGGGTGCAATACAATTATTTTTCACTGCTTATAATGTACGATCGATAACATATCCCATAAGCATATCACAAGACATTAAACAGCTTAATCCATGGGCTGGAAAAACTCCTCAGTTGCAACATTCTGAATCACATATTTAAGCAACAGAAAATGAATCATTTTTGTACTTTTTATATCAATTGGGGTTGAAATGGGGTGGTTCTGCAGTTGGTCTCTGAAGCACTCCATGCATCAGATTTGAAATATTCCTCAATCCAAAAAATGTGAACCTAAAATGATCAAATCCATTTATAAATATTATTGTAAATTCATCTGCTTCAGTAATGTATTGTTTTAATGTAAATGTTCAATCAGCTGAAAAATGCAGGCCATGTTAGGGTTAGAGATACAAGATCCATCCCATTTTGACTCCATTTAAACTTCTGAATCCCTAGAAAATTATAAAATTGAGAGAATGTACCCATTCAAAAGGGTTATTTTAAAGTGTTTAATTTGAATCATTTTTGGAATACAATTCTTGAACAGTGCAGTACAATGTAAGCAGCAAAATGTGCCTGAAAAAAGTGCAGTTCGTACACGCCTCCTAAAGTTCGGTTTGGCCCCAAAATGCTGACATGAAGTTGAAAAAGTACTGTGGGAATACTAACCCTAACCCACAATGTTTTGGCCGTGGAGCCTTCTTCAGGTGTGAGGTGAAGGTGAGGTGAAGACATCTGAAGAAGGCTCCACGGTTGAAACGTTTTGTTTTCTTTCTTCTTTTTTTCAGCATAGAATAAACCTATTACTTGTTCCTTTACAATCTTCTAGAGCTCCAATCTTCAGTATTTATATTTCAAATTCACTGTAACTGTACACAGCATACCAGTTAATGTGAGACTGTTCTTTACATTGAGCTTTCAGATACATATTCAAGATGTTGGTTCAGTAGCAAGTGTCCATGGCAGATTTTTAGGATTTGGGTTTTCTCATGTTTATAAAATGCATTTATGCTTTTATGCATTTGCAAACTTGCTGACATAGTGTTGTGGGATGATTTAACATTTTATATTTTTATTTTATTCCATCTGATCATATGTGTTTGACATTGTTTATACTGTATCTTTCCAGCGGTGTCATGTGGAAATCCTGGCACTCCAGCCTTTGGAAGGATTGTCCACAGTGATGGGATACTGTTTTCAAGTTCAGTCACATATTCCTGCTGGGAAGGGTACAAAACATCAGGTCTCACAACTCGCCATTGTACTACTAATGGAACTTGGACGGGATCTGCACCAGACTGCACAGGTGTAGTACTATTTCAGGAACAAGGTGTCCAGTAATGCAGATATGTGCAGGTACAGATGGGTTGGCACATTGGAAGAGATTAACTAATCTTTAAAAAAAGATATGAAATGTAGTTCCGCACTATGTTGTTCCTTAATTGTAGACTATGCTTATTACTGTATCTTGTTTTCTTGTCTTATTATTATACTGCTGATAATTGTCACACTAGTAATTACAGTGCCTTACAAAAGTACTCCTTCCTCTCCAGTGACATCCCTTAATAAAGTGTACACATCGTTTGTAATTCAGCACAATAGAACATCATTGGAAGAGGGTGAATACTTCTACAAGGCATTGCTGAAGAAATCTGAACGCTATTAAATGCTATTAAATCTATTTAAAATCTATATTAAATCTAAACCTTTCCAAACGTCTCTTTCAGGTTCTCTTCCAACACAGCTGTTGGAAGAGATAATGTAACTGCAGATGTACAGTAATACAAGTGGGCATAACCTATGGGTTTGTTTGTTCTCTTCCAGTGATCAGCTGTGGTGATCCAGGCCCAATTGCAAATGGGATTTATATAGGGAATGAATATGCCTACAACAAGACAGTGCACTACCACTGCAACCCTGGATTCATCATGGAGCCAGCTGGGTCGTCTGCTTTGCTTTGCACAAAGGATGGGACCTGGAATCAAACCAAGCCAACTTGCCGAGGTAAGATCAAATGTTGAGAAGCATGACGGCGAACAGTCCATTGCTTCATGACAGAATTGTTTCTGACGGCGGTATTACCACCTTCTATCCTGAACTCCATTTCCGTGAGGCTGAGCCTGGAAGCAGCTGTAAAAGTGGTTTTGAAGGAACAGTCGACACTCAGTACCCCAGTATAGTGAGAAGGCCCGATGGGATGCAGAAGGTGCTATCCTCCGGATGAGATGAGAAATCAAAGTCCTGTGTTCCCAGTTAAAGATCCTTTGGCGTTGTTCATAGGGAGTGTAGGGGTATTGACGTGTTGACTCTCAGTGTCCTGCCTAAATCCCATTTTGGACTTGCACATGACCTACTGAAATTCCCCGCAAAGTCATTTCTCATTTCTCCACTTGATCTTCTGCGTAAGGAAGCCGGAGGTGTATAATGGGCGCTCGACATCACCCAGGGGGTTTCACTCTTCAGTGGTGGGATGAATTGTTTCTCCCCCATTGTGGGATCTTTGGGGCCATATAAAGTGCTTTACAAATGAAAGAAATTAATGAGACGAAATGCCAAGCAACCAAGACAAAGAAGAGACTACTATATGTGTGTTAGAATTTGAAACACTCCATAACAAAATATAAAAGATGTAGGTTTTCTTAAAGAATGAATGCTAACTATATGAAGCACTGCCTAATATACAATGATAATTACCGGTACTCAAAATTTAACAAGAGTTTAATATGTATACACAGGAATGACCCATCCTATCACTATAGGTAACATAAAGTCTTAGAGTTAACATGTCAAGTCCAACTCTTAGGCTCAACAGCTCATTGAGTCAGAGCTCATCCGTGTTTCTTTAGCATTAAGCAGACTAGAAAGCATAACCCCCCCCAGGAAGGGACACTGGTTCTTGCAGGGAAAATTAATATAGTATGTGCTAGAATTTAAATCTATAAAATCGTTAACCTTTTCTTCAGACATCAGGGGATTTTAAAATTCACCCTTTTCATTATTATTAAAACAGTCATCACTGAAATTAATCACATAATGGCATTATTCCACCTTAATAAATGTACTTACAGTACATGATATACTGTAGCATTACCAAAGTAACCAGCATAAACACACAGGACTAATAGTTTTATAGCAATTATACTGTACTCCATGCTGCATGTGATCTTGTGAAAAAAGTATGACTTCCTATTGTCACGCCCTATAGTAAAAATGGCTTTGACACACTAAGACTTTGACACAGAGTTTCACAAAAGCCTTGGTGAACATATGATCCTCTCCAGGAGATACAGAGTACATACTGGAAGGTGTACAGTAGTATGTAATATTTCAATTAACTTTGAAAGATCAATGTTTTTTTATTATAATTATAATTCCTCCCTAGACAGAATAATGTTGTTTTTTTCAACATAAAAAAATTACCACACTCTAAGGTTTTAGAACTGATACAGAGATACAATGTAGATATAATGTAACAGCAGAGTTTTGCCTTTAATCCTTCATGACATTAGGGCAATTTGGCATAAGATGTTCAGGACTGGCTTTTTTAGCCTTGAAAGCCTAAATAGGAAAGATGCATTCCATTAACAAAGAGCTGTGAACCATTCCATTCAAAGAGCTGTTCAGTATAGACTAGTGGTCTTGATATATTACTCGGTATTAGAATAAATAAATAAATAAATAAATAAAAAACAGGGCTCTGCAGAGCTGTGTCCTTTAATTAGACATAATCACTCTTCTTTTCCCCGTGTGAAGCTCTGTCCTGTGGCCAGCCTCCTGCGATACACCACGGGAAAGTGGAGGGATCAGACTTCCAGTGGGGGTCAAGCATTAGCTACAGCTGTTTTGAGGGCTACCAGCTGTCCACACCTGCAATAGTGGCATGTGAAGGTACCGGCACTTGGAGAGGGGATGTCCCACACTGCTTACGTAAGTTTTAACATTAAACCTTCAATAAGAGAAATATTCCTTTGACAAGTCTGGAAAAAGACAACACAAACGCAGTGGACTATCTAATATCATTTAAGTGTAATAGAAGATGTTTGAAAAGTGATTATAATAGTACGTACATGCAGTATGTTTTGAAAGGAATTTCCTTTCAAAAAGTCAGCACTGGTTATTGCAGTTATTGTAGATCCATTATCGGACTGAAAAGAAAGCAACAATCTGTTTTTCTGGAAACGAACAACAAGGAGATTGCAGGCCTCTCTACTTTAATGCTCTCTAGAGGCATGATTGGATGATGCCTGATGACTAAAATGTTTTTAACTATGGCCATGGACATAATAGCAACTATGTATAGCATTTATTATGGGAAAAGGCGGGTTGCTTCTCTTATGCATGCCATCTGTAAGGTAAAATGCGTATTGAATCATTTTCCTTCCAAGCATGCCAGCAGCTATATAACTTAGCAACCCACTGAAGCTAAGTAGGCATGAGCCTGGCCAGTACCTGGATGGGAGACCTCCTGAGAAAGCTAAGGTTGCTGCTGGAAATGGTGTTAGTGGGACCAGTAGAGAGCGCTCACCCTGCAGTCTGAGTAGGTTTCTTGTGCCCCAGTAGAGTGATGGCGACTTTATACTGCATCTTACCAATCATGGCCTCCTAATAATCCCCATCTCTGAACTGGCTTCATCACTCCACTCTCCTCCCCACTGAGAGCTGGTCTGTGGTGAGCATACTGGTGCACTTTGGCTGCCGTCACATCATCCAGGCGGGGCTGCACATTGGTGGTGGTGGAGAGTCTCCATTACTTGTAAAGTGCTTTGATTGGATTATCCAGAAAAGCACCATATAAGTGTGATGAATGGATGTGATAATACTTTAATTTTGCTTTAAGCAGGTTTTTTGTAGTTTACATAAACCCTTTGTTTCTGTGACATAGCAGCTCTTCCAGGAGTGGACTGATGAGAATAACAATGATGATGTCAACCATATGGTATTTCAAAAAACCATCAGACATTTCACCTCTAAATCTCTTTTGTTCTGTTCTCTTTGTCACTTGCAGCTGTTTTATGTGGAGACCCAGGTACACCAGCAGAGGGGCATGCTGAAGGCAAAAGTTTCACCTATAGGTCTGAAGTGACTTTCTACTGCAAAGGCCCATATATTCTCGTGGGCTCATCCAGGAGAGTCTGTCAAGCAGATGGGACTTGGAGTGGTATTCAGCCCACGTGCATTGGTAATTGGCCATCTATTTGGTTATTCCAGCTTCTCGTGTGTTCTCTGCATTTTCTCTTATGTCCAAGAGGGGTTTTTCCAGGTATTCTAGTTTCCACTAACAGTCTAGGTTAATCAGCTTGCCTTAAGTTGTTCACGATACACATATGTGAATGAATATCTGTCTGTGTATCTGTAATGGATGTAGCAGAACTTTTAAAACCTTAATCTTTGTTTACTTCAATATTTATGTTCTGTAGATCCAGCATATAATATGTGTAGAGATCCTGGTACTCCTCCCTTTGGCATACCAATCCCATCTCAAGGATACGAGGTGAGTGCTTCGATTGGCCCTCGCTCCAAACTCTTTTCTGAAAAAGCACTGCTTCTTTATTTTGGACCATTCAGTTCACCCTTCATTCCTGTTAGTTTGGGGGTGTCACACAACGACTGGCTACAACCTTTAAGTTGGGTTTTCTGTTTCTGTGTAGGGAACGTACTGCAGTTTCACTAGTATTTCTTCTTAATTAGCTTGTTACTATTCAGACTCCCAGGACTGGGTATGCTTCTAGCACCTACAAAGGTCCGTGACAATTACAATCAGCTCCATGAGCTTGCTTGGCGGCAAAACAGAAGTTTCAGTGATTTAGGAATCAAAAGCCTCTCCTTGCCACACATTTTATTCCTTGAGAGGCACTTAATCACCTACACCTGAGACTCCACACAGGAATCCAGCTGATCAGTGTTCTCTCTTGCCCCTTGAACATGTTTGGGATATGGATGGGGGCAGAGGAAACCACAGACTTTCGTAGACATGGTTGTAGTAGGTATAGCCTTCTCAGACTTCTTGGTCCCAAATGTATTCCTTCTATACACCCGTTCCACATACTGTCTCACTATTTTGTTGCTATATAAAATAATTAAAAATGGACAAAACCTAAATGGCCAGCATTATCAATATATTTCAAGGGTGAAAGTGCTCAGAATTATTTTATTTCTCTCTCTTTACTTTTGTACCATATATCACTTTAACTTGAAGAGAAAACTGGAAGAAGTTTGAAACCTTAGTGAATGCTAGGAAATATTTTAGAGGTGAATTTCATACTGATATATTCAATTTGAATCTCTTTTTTTTCTCTGTAATCTGAATTTCTTTTTTGTTTCATATAGGTGGGAAGTAAAATCTTCTTTAAATGCAGAAAAAACTACCATATATTGGGATCTACAACACGAACTTGCCTTGAAAATTTAACCTGGAGTGGTATACAGCCAGAATGCATATGTATGTATGGTGTAATATAAAAATCCTAAAAGTTTTTTTTTTTTTTTTGAATTTTTTTGTTTTTTTAAAATTAAATCTCCATGTTACAAATGGACAATAAACAAAATCAAATCGATATAAGTGATTTACAGTGTATATAGTGCCTCGCTGACATATTTGTACTCTTCCAATGGTGGACCATTTTGTGAAGTTACAAAATGATGCATTCACATTTTTTAAAATCAATATTCTATTCAAAACCTGAATGCTAAAACTAAAGACTTTTTGCAGCTTTAAGTCTTTTGGGGGTAAGTTTTCACAAATGTGCACACTGGTTTGGTGCAACTTTTGTCAATTCTTCTTGGCGGAGTTGCTCAGACTCAGGTCTGTAGCTTAGGGATAGCTTATGGACTGCAGTTTTCATGTCTTTCCACAGATTCTCTATAGGATTCAAGTCAGGGTATTGACTGGGCCACTCAAGGACATTCACTTTCTTACCCTTAATCCACAGCAGTATAGCTTTGACTATAGCTTTTGGATCATTGTTCTTCAGAAAGCTGATTTTTTTAGTTTTAGATCTTAAGTGGGTTTTCTTCTAAGATTTGCCTGTATTTCACTCCATTATCCCATCAGTTTTAACAAACTTCCCAGCCTCTGCTGTGGAGAAAGTGCTTTGTTGCAGACCCCATGCAGGATTTGAGATGTCTTTTTTGGTTCCACACAAGCCTCTCTGTAGAGCGACACCAATGAACCATTGACATTTTTCCTGTCTCAGACTCCCAGGTGCTTGGTTTGGAAGGAGAGTCTGATCTAGGCAGTGTCTGTGTGCCTTCTGCTTCTTAATGATTGATTTCATCACTCTCAAAGAGATATTAAGGGTCTTTGAAATGTTTCTACACCTTTATCCAGATCTCACCTTCATACAAGGTTTTATCCTTGAGTTGTTCTGAAAGCTCTTTGGTCTTTATGTTTAAATCTTTGCTTGAAATTCACTACCTGGACAGAGATAAATGAAAGACTATTATTGCACACAGGCAGAGGCAGCTCAACTAATTGTGTGGTTCATTAGAGTATTTCTGTCCACCTTAATTTATTAAGGTTTGCCATAGCAAAGAGTTTTTCAATTTTTCTATAATATTAATTATTGTTATATATTTATTTGTTTGTCTTTTATGATTTGAATGTATGGAGTACACTAAGTATCTAACAAAGCCTTAGCGCATAAAATGTGAAAACTGGACAAGGGTCTGCATACTTTTAGGACACTTTATGTGGTTTCTGCTAACTAAGGCTGTGGCAATTTTAGAAAATAAATATATTTTTAAATAAAGCTTTACGATTTTATGATTTACCTTACTTTCAAGGCTATGACTGTAGTTAATAGCATAGTATAGAAGTTATAAAGTCTTTTGGTTTATATGTGGATTCAAATATGGATCGACACAGAAAGGGGAGTTGATAAAATTCAGCTCAAAATTTCAAAGGTGATTCAAAGAGGGGAAAAAAGTGACGGATGCCCGCTTCAGCACAAAAAAAAAGTTATTGAAGTTTAAGCTTTTACTTCATGAACTATAAATCTGTTATTAGTTCAACAGTATTACCTACTAAACCTTGAGGCTGCTGCATCTCACAGAGAATTTTTTACTGTCAGAACTCTTTAAGTGGCAAAGTTTCTGTTGACAAGGGGAGGCATGAAGACTCTGTATTAATTTTAAATGCAAGATATTTTAGATTTTTCTAAAAAGTTCCTTTGGGAGTATATTTCTTTAATGAAAACTAAACATATAAAATGTTTTCATTTTTAATGCACTGATATTTTATCCATAATTTACTATCCAAGAAAGTACAGTAGTGATTTTATTTGTTTTTCTTCTTTTTTTGTAGCTCATGCCTGCAGACAGCCAGAAACACCTTCTCATGTGGATGTGAAAGCTATAGATCTGCCAACTTTAGGGTACACTTTGATGTATACGTGTCAAGCTGGATTTTTCCTTGCTGGGGGATCTGAACATCGGACTTGCAAAGCAGATGGAAAATGGTCTGGAAAGCCACCTATCTGCAAAGGTATATGGTGTAGAGGACAGCTCCTTCTCATAGTGCGCATCTGTGTAATGCAATGGGTACTTGAGAAAATCACAGGTGCAATTTGTAGGAAACAGGGCCTTTTAGCACATCCACTTACACTTGACTGTAATGCCCTGAAAATCAATAAACCTTTTTGTTAGACGTCATGTCATATGAAAAGACGTCACATTTGATTTAAAGAAATGCACAATCATATCGGGATTATGACATGCATCATTTTCAATAAGAGGGGAAATGCACTTTTTTAGTTTTAGACAACTTTCACAAAGAAAAGATGTTGCCCCTTCATGTACTGTACATGCACTACATTCTATTTTAGGGTATAACGAATGTTTTTTAAAACCAACATTTGATAATATATTACAACTATCGATTGTGCACCATTAATCACAACACTATACCAATTTGTATTTGCTATTTAATGAAGACTCATTTTTTATAGATTCATTGGGTTATTCTCAGTGAATGAGGATAGTGTGCAAGATATAATGTCATAAATAACTTTTCCTGACTGGGATCAAAAGCTCTACAGTGTACAAACCCCATCATGCTCATGACAGAGCCAGTTAATTGAGTTAATTAGCCTGGCTTTCCTCCTATTTCCCTGGTCTGGTAAGAGAAGCGTTGTAAGACAACATGGAGCTTGAAAGGTGTGAAAACATCCATCCTATCCATTTTCTAACCAGTTTATCCATGGGAGGGTCATGGGAGAGTCGGAGCAAACAACAGCCTCAAGGACGGCCAGGCCACTGCAGGGCCAACAGGCACAGAGACAGATCCTCTCACACTCACACCTCAAGCCAGTTTACCCACCAGTGTATCTGTGGGCTGCAGGAGGACAATTCAGTTGAATCCATTGAGGTGTGGATCACAGATTCGCCCCACGAACTGTTGCACTGCTCTAGGCAAAATGTCAAATACACACACAGCCATTACAGAATGTGTGTGGATTAAACTCCTGGATGAAAACCATTATTATTAATAGTGCACAAATGTAAACAGGGAGTCAATGGCAGGTCCTACAGCATTGTAGAAACATTATTAACCTTTTACTCTTTTTCAGTTGGGCCAAAAGTAAATGACAAAACAAAAGGAGCAGATTCAGGAGTACAGAAGAATAAGATACACGGTTAGTAACATCCGCCACCATAGGAACTGTGTGATAACTTTTTACAGTATACAATCTTTATTTGCTTTGGCTTTATTTCAATTAGTGGCTAGAATGGACACGAGTTATATTGAAAAAGCCAATCATTTTTAGTGAGAAAAAGATTCTTAAGGAGAGTTTACGATGACGTACTGTAGCAATGAGTTACAATGACAGTAGGTCATATTAACCTGTGCACTTCAGTATGTCAGTCTGACTTTTTATTTCATAGTACAGTATGTACCACCTGAAATCACTTGTTATGCTAGTGATGGCCACTGTTAAATTACAGTATAACATAAGAAAATGGTGCAGCACTGTCAAAGTACTTTACTGTTTTAAAATGTAATAACAGTGAATACATTGTGGAACGCATCAGTATAATATAACTGTCTTTAGTTCCCGCAGATGTATTTTCCTTAAACAGTGGTTGGAAAGGTTTCTATGAGTACCTTGGGAGAAGGCAGTCAGCTACCATAACAGTGAACTGGTTTAATGCCACGACCAGTAAAGTCAATGTAACACTGCTGGAACACAGTGGTGTGCAGCTCAGACTTTCAGGTAAGGAGGTAACTTTCAGATGTGATATATTCCTGTAACACCTCCTGGCTAAGTTTGCTTCTTGCTTCAAAAATGCATGAATATTAATGAGCTTTTTCATGTTTGAAATGTCTTGATAATTGAGTTGGGGTCCACCTGTTCATGAATATGTCGTACTTCCATAGGTATATACAAGAAAGAAGAGAATCATTTACTCTTGAAGGTGTACCAGGTTCGAGGGCCCATCGAAATCTTTTTCAGTAAATTTAAAAATGACAACTGGGCAATGGATGGATATGTGAGTTGAAGAACCTTGTTTCCATGCATTTGCATTATTTGCAATTTTTAGTCTTTTGACAAAATATAACGCAACATACAGTACAATGATGTTCATCTAAAAAGAATGCTAAAAATCTTCAGAAACAGTTAAACACTCTTCAGTAACTGTCACTCAATCCAAGGTTTAATTATTTAGGATAACTTTAAGCTGTATGATTAGAGGTTGCTAAACAATTAAAATACCAGCAAATTAAAAGGATTGGAATCATACACAACAATATAGTTCCAGTTTCATTTAGGTCATATTTAAGCTTCTGCTCATTAACAGCTTCAGCTGAGAGAATTTAAAAAAACAGAAAACTGAGAACACTTTAAGGTTGTTCATATACTGAATGAGGAGCATTTGCTGTAAAGTAAATTTAATTTTAAAAAGTGATGAAACCATGAAGATACACATTTGCAGATCACATTTTAATATTCATTGAAACACGTTTTCTAGACTTTTGAACTTTTATCTTATATCTTGGTCTAGGTGTCAGCAGAATCCGACAGCAACACCTTTGTCTATCAGGGTTTTATTCATGGAAAAGACTTTGGAAATTTTCAGTTAACAAGACAAGGTATAGAAATGAGATACTATTTCATAAATACATGTATGCTATTATGTTTCTAGACTTATTGTTAATTCTAACTTTGCACGAATTAACAGACTGTGGTACAGAGCCTGTGGGGATTCTGTGTCAGGGGTACAGTAATGTTTACAACAGAAACTACAGACTTTGTTCTTAAGAAAAATAAAAATGTAGCTCCTTTTAGAATTTCAGGTTTTTGGTCTGGACTCCAGAAGTTAATATTTTAGGAATAATTACTTCGTAGACATACTGTTGTAGAAAGTAGACAAAGTATTTGATTAGCGCACAAATACACAAATAATTATATCCAAGTGTTTTTATCAAGATTTTAATGTCTCATTCATTTCACAAGCTAAAGAGAAGGATTTGCCTTTTTTGTCATCAGGCCTCATCACGACAGACACGGACCTGTCCAACCCTTATTACGGCACCAACAGCAGCTCAGTGGCCGCTGCCATACTGGTGCCATTCTTTGCTCTGATTCTGTCAGGGTTTGCCTTTTACCTCTACAAACACAGGTGAGACACCCTCCTGTCTTCAGAAGACCAGACTCCAAAGTCACAGTGTTTGTCAGGAGTGACTGCAGAAAAAAGCAGGACTGTTGCACGAGTTATTATGGGGAAACTCCTGTGGCCTGTTGCTGCCCACTGACTCTTCCCCAAAACAGACTGTACCCCGGCAGTGGTATTGGTAGTCCTATGGAATCAGAGGAACCTAAGGGCAAAGAAAGGGGCATGTGCTTAAACAGAATGACTATCCTTAATATTAAAATACATAAAAATAGGCAGGGTGCACTCACCAGACACAGATGAGAATGAGAGATCCAAAGATGTAATGAGAATGGGCTGCAGGTAAGAAATGAGAAACAAAATGACTAGGGAATTATCCTTTTACTTATGCATTCCCATTTTTATTTTACATTTAATGCCATTATCTAAGAGAAACTTGCCAGGGATATAATTCATACAGTATTAAGGCATTATTTCTTTGGTCTATTTAAAAATTATAACTACTTTGTTACAGTACTTAAATCAACTAAAAATTAATCAGTTAGTTTCTTGTACAAGGCATTATAGTAAGCTGGAAATATCCACATTAGCATATTAATATGAATGTGCCGAGTTAGCAAATCTGTTACTTTAAGCAATGCAGCACAGCTGACAGTTAATTTAGGAACTTGAGTGCTCAGATAGAGGGAAGCAAAAGTTACCCATTAAAATAGGATGGAATGTGCATATATGCTGCAGGTCAATTTTACTGTTGTGAAATTCCTCATTTAATTTTTTTCCCCCAGTATTACACCTGCAATGCATGACTTTAAAAAGGCCGTTGGTTAGACATGATTATCAATAATTCAAAACAAATTTTTAGCAATACATTACCTGCTTTACTTGTATTGTTGGCATCCAGAAAGTTCTGTTGAATAGAACTGAAGTTTGCAGGTTAAATGATAGTGCTCACTATAGCATTGGAGCACTTTGGCTTTGCTGTGAACATTGTGTACTGATTCTATAAGCGAAAAAAAGGTTATCATGTTTTTCTCCCATGGATTTGTCTTTTGTTATGCAGTATCTTTTTAACCATCTATTGGTCCTGAACAGCCAGATGTTTTTTAGTGTTAAAACTTTACAAAAATGTTCTTTCAAGGGTCAAGATGAGCCACCTTATTTATAAACCATCTGTATGCCAGCATACTGTAATGTCTATCGCACAGTAAGATCCCCTTCCTGTGTCAGAAAAAGTGTGGAACAATCATGAAAATGTAGTTTCTCTTAAAAACTAAGCAACAAAACAAAGTAATGAAAGTATAGGACAGCAATCTGTGAACAATAGTGACACTTTTTTTAAGGTTGACATACAGGATATGTTTCTCTGAGGATCCTGGATAAGAGTTTGAATACAGCTGAAACTACAGTAGAGTGATCCAAGCTTCATGTACAAAGTCGTGAATCATTGATTTGGACTTTTCTATTGCGAGGGTAACTTAGCACATCTAGAAAATGGCACATTTGTGTTTCTTCTGATGATATTTAGCTGCTGCTTCTGATCATTATGTAATTTAAAATTTTGAGTGTCAAACTATCCCTAATTTAATTGTTTGTGAGTCTGAAGTACATGGGGTACTGATTTACAGATACAACAAAAAATGTGCAAATTTCTTTCTTAATAACTAACCTTACTGTTCCAGTGTCATTGGGATTTCAAGATGTCTGTAAACCAGCAGCAAATAATTAGAAAATTAACTGTTCAAGTGAAGCAAATGTAATTTCAAAATAACAGTATTTGTCTTTTGTTACAATATCCGTGTTTTCTTTGTTTCTCTTTTTCTCCGTTTCCTTACGAGGGTTAAAATAATACGTTTGTCTTGTTTGGGTTTCTTTACCTTTCAGGACAAGACCAAAAGTACAGTACAATGGCTATGCAGGCCACGAGAACACAAATGGACAGGCTTCTTTCGAAAATCCAATGTATGACACAAACATGAAACCTACGGAGGCGAAAGCTGTGAGATTTGATACAACTCTGAACACAGTCTGCACAGTAGTATAGCCTTTGTTGTCAGTTTTGACTGATTCATAGCCATACCTCTTGGGTAAGCAGTAACTTCTTTGGTGCCATATGCCCATCTCCTTTGTGACTCTTTGCTTTGCTACTATACACTTTATAACAACTTCTGTCAGGAAAAAAAAAATGGCATAAAAAGAAATAAAATGTTCATTTTCTGAGAAACAAAAAGCTCCATCAGGCACAGAATAAGCTAATGGCCAAGAAAACAAAGAAAAGAAGTGACTTTGTTGGATCAAGAATTACTTCTGAATATCTTGCCAGGGTGTCATACTGTATGCCTCAGCCTTTCATGTTGCTTACTGGAACAAAGTTGTGTTTTTTTCCACACACTCCCTTGGGAGATGTTGAAGTCTCTTGAAAAGACACATAATTGTTGACAAAAGGCATTTTCTTCACATAAGATAAATGATGAAGGAGACGGCTTCTTTCAGCTTCGTTGCTCATACCTTTCCAGACATTTCCAGTAATAAAAGAGAAGAAATTGCTACAACTACAACTGCCTGTCTCACAGCAGAACCTGCTATCCAGATTCTGGGTAGCTGGTGGAGTTCTCTCAGCTGTCGTGTTGCAAAACCTAACTGCACAATTTTTGCACTAGTGTGTTATGAATGATCATGAAAGTGGTTTAAAAAAAAAACACAGGGTTTCTATACACTGACCATTTGTATATAAGCATTTCCATGTTCCTGAGAAGCATGTCGTCATGCTATAGCTGTAAAAAAACAACTTTATTTTCTATGTTTTGCAAGGGTTATATGATAATATGAAGCAGTTGCTTATTTTATACATTAATATGTACAACAGGTATGGCAAACTAAGTGACACAACCCACAGCTGAATCTGCAGTTTATTTTATAACAGGTTAAGACTGCTGTTTTGTTATTGCAAGGTGTAATCCGTATATGGGCAAGTTTGCACCATTCATCCTTCTCAGCAATGTATCAACTTATCATCAAAATTACAAATAGTTTATGTATTTCCAAATTTTGCATTTTAATCATTGTGATCTTTTAAGTGTTTCTGATATGCAGATGTTGTCACCCCAGCGACTGACAGATATGGTATGTCAAAATGACAAAAATTCAAGTTCTTAAAATCATGTGCTCATTAATGTTTCACAAGAAAGTTTTGCACAAGGGTTATAGTCTGAAATATGGTTCATAGTCGTGTGTTTAAGGTAAAACAATTACTTCACACTGCTACATCACCTTCAACAGTCAGACATTGGTTCACAGTCCCTTACTCACAAAACTGGATACTATGAGGCATGAAGTTTTTGGTTATAATTGGCGTTACAATAGGGACTAAAGGACCACTTTTTAATTGGTTCAACCAATATAAATAATACAACCAATAAATAAAATAAAACCAACTGATACCTGATAACTGATTTTATTACTGTATATAAATAATAAAACCAATTAGTAAAATAAAACCAAACTGAAGATAAGTAACTAGGGATAATTGGTGCAAGTTTGCAAATACAAAAAATATACCTTTTACATGTAAGAATATCATCATTATACACAATGCTGGAGAAAAGAAAATATATTTTTTCTTAAGTGCTTAAGTTATTTTTAATCTCAACAGTTCTGAATGCTGAAGTTTTTTCATAATCATATGTTTAGGGTGCATATGTTAGAGGTATTTTTGGCCAGTTGCACTAGTAACCATATACTGTATATTTAATGCCCAGACAGTTTAAATTTGGTCCACTACAATAAACAGTCTCTTATACAGTAAGTTTGGAATTGGGGTTCTGCTAGTACACTAGCAAAAAAAAAAGGCAGGGTTGTTGGTAAGGTTATATTACTTCTTTAGATAACTTGTGCAAGTATTCTACACACTAACTGCTCAGTAGCCAGCATAATATCAGATACAACAGGAACAACTCAGAAAGAAACGCTAATTACTGTACTTAGAAAATGCTGGGGACATATAACCTACCAAAAAGTGAAATATCCTGCATTAACCACATTCTCTCATGCCTGGTAAGGAAGTACGCATGCAAGTTAAGATCATCGGTAAGTAGGTTATTGTGCTGTCTCACTTATTTCTGTAGCATCATGTGTGTATGGTTTCACACAATCCATACCCACAGATATGTACAGTATGTAAACGTCCTGATACTTGCTCTATTGCCTTTGAAAAAGGTCAGAGAGACAGAGATAATAAAACACGTCTTATCTTAATTAATGGCTGACATTCAGGATTACACTAGAATAGCTACAAAGAAACCTTATACAATGTGTATTCTTTCTGAAAATGAGTGCCCATCCAAATGAACAGCAATGCATAAAAAGATTCCCTGAATGTGTATCATCAACTGTATGTTCTTAAAGTATGTAAATCAAGAAGCATTAGGCTCACCTTCATTTTCTAAGTAATTTCTATTTTGCATCAGCACATATTTCATGAAATTTTTTATCTATTGTTATGGTACTGTGTACCTAAGGTAAAAATGGTGGGTGAGGCTTGGTTATATTAAGGTGAAAACAGAAGGTGGAGACCATACCTTTCTTCCACTGTATGCTTCTTGTGATGATAGAACTGCTGCTTTTACGACACATCTTGCCTTTCTCCAGGCTAGCTGCAATAACGTTTCCCTTTCTCTTCTGTAAAATAGTTTGTTAAAAAAACATAAAAAAAACAAAAAAAAAGCTGTAAAACTGCATTATGTTCGACATCATTCCATAGAAATCATTGCTGTTTTACCATATGCTGCTGACTTGAAGTAGGTGCAAAAGAACTTTTTTTTGTACAGAGATATATTTTTTATGAAGAATTTGTAAAATTATTAAATATGCTGTACTTTTTTGATTAATGTAGGTAAAAATTGTTAAAATAAATGTTTTTACTATACAAAAATGTAATTTTTTCAATTAATGTAAAGTATATATATATATCTCTCTCTCAATAGCTAGTTTTAAATTCTTATCCTCTTGCACATGTGAATATATGAAAAGTGGCCTGTGAAAATACAATGTATTCTTTTGGGATAAAAAAGAAAAAAAAATCAAGTATATACTGTGATATAATTTGTTCAATGACACAATCTTGAATATATGATTTAAGAGCAAGATTAAATATTTGAATATAGTTATTTGGTCTATGTCGAATATGTTTTAACTTTAAAAACTTTCCTTTAAGTAATACCCAAGGAGCATTTTTTGCTCCATATAACCATTGTACAATATACGATTCCATCTCACCTAATGTAGCTGTAAGTCGTCAGATTTACTTTACAATAAGAGGGTGTGCATACTGTATTTAATTGATGGTGAGATAAGAGAATTAATGTGAGTAGCCTGTGAAAACATGTGGACCTAAACAGCATTTCACATTAATGCCATGGGAAACTATGTAATTATTTCACGGGTTATAGGAGAAAATATACATGTACTTATTGTAAAGAGGTACGGTACTCATGCTGATTATAAGATAACCAACTCCTAAAATAATTGAAAATGCTCTTTCCATTGAAGAGGGTGGTTGTACTTATTCTCCTCTTGTAAACAAAATATTTTTTTTACTGAACAGGAATGAAACAGGGATTTCTTTCTTAACTTGTATTTATATGAAAATAGAATTAAAATCCTCTGCGATAAAGGTTCTTTTACTTTACTTTTCATTTACTTCTGAGAGCGTTCGCCATGTTGCAGAGCATGTTTGTCTGGTTTGGTACTGTATGACTTTGTTTTGCACTGGTTTCAGATCTTTAAAAAGCACTGACCATTTCTTCTATCTTTTATGGATTTTTTGTCCTGTATATCTTGGTGCCGGGGACCAAGGTGCTTGATAGACTTCCATTGATTTGTTTCTTTCCCTTGGTTATCTTTAATCACTAAAGGATTGCAGTAGAGTACTGAGCCAATACATTATCACCTACTGTTGAACTAGTAATGGTGCAACTCTATGCTGCCACTTTTAAATTAACAGGGCATGCATCTAAAATTGACACAAAGTTCATTTTCCATATAAAACTGCATTCTCTCTACAGGATATTTAACTGAACTTGTTTGGCTGCTCATATCTCTTGAGGCACACAGTGTTTTTAACCATCTTCTGCCTAAGACAGGGAAAGCGGTTGTGTTGATCCAATTACACAAATAATTGTTTCAGTTAAGTACAGTAATTAAGGGTTCAGCTTAAATAAACCCAAGGAAGACTGCAGTCCTTGAGTGATGAAAGTCGCCTTCCTGCTCTTAGACCAAATGTGCTAGTCTACTGTCCTTGAAACACATCTTACATTCTTATGTCTACAAACAGCAATAATTAGCCATTAGGTGAACATCTATCAACAGACACCATTCTTTCAATTGCTACCCCTACTCATCAGAAAGGCTGCTTTTGTGGTTTTGGCTGGCTCAAGTGGTCGGATGCATGCCATGCCCCAGTGCTTGGTATTCCTTTTGTTCACCTGTGTATTGATTTGGTTGTGGGTCTTTATGTACACACTAAAAAAAAACAAAAACTTGAAACAGCCTAATTAAACCCGTTTCACTGGGATTCTTGAAAAGGCATCTCAATGAGTTTTTAAATCAGGCTAGTTACAGCTGAGTAAGCAAAATAGGGTGAATAGCCTAGTCTTCTCTTGAACCATTCTAATTTGCCTTTTGTACAGTTCAAAAAGCAAGACTGGAATACAAAGTACTTTTAACGTGGGATGTACAGTACATGCTTCGAAGATTCTAAAAGAGGTATTTGCTCTCACTGTCCCTTGGTGCTATCGTGTTTCATCTGATAGCAATGGAAACTGTCTTGCGAGTTGTACAGTAACTGACCCCTTTGGGCAGCTCAGACTTTGTTTATCCTTTGCCTTTGTGTAAATACTGCCTTTAGATCAGAAAGCAGTAGCTACAGATATCAAATCTGTTTATCAGCCTTTACAGAAAACCTGACTTTCTTGTAGTTTTTTTTTTTACATATGCAGTGAGGTTACTGTAACCTTGGGCTAAATTTGTTTCACAAAAAAAGAAAAGGTAAAGAATGGTGTGTTTTTGTGTTTGCAATTGTGAGAACAGTGTATCAATATGTGGTTCTGGGGAAAAAAGCAAATCAATGTTATTGCCAATGAAAACTGCACAGATCTATTACTTTAATCTTACACACCTAAATCTTTAATTCTATATCATCTGGAAAAGTCTCAGCAGTCTTCCACAGCTGCTTTATTTAATTTTTAAAACATTCATTGATCAGCTAATGGAGACAACCTGAACAATAATGTATAAAGCACTCAATAATGAACTGATAGGTGGCTTTTAAGTCTTCTGAAATTGTCTACATTTTTGATTAATAATCCAGTAATTTATGTCGACCTTCTACTTTCACTAAGCAAAGGTACTTTTCCACTGTCAAATATTAACAAGGTTATATTTAAAGAAGATGGCTGAGTAACGCAGAACAATTTCCTGACATTTGACACCAACAATTTAAAACAAAATTGCAAAAATGCATTCATGGATATTTGACAGATTTGCTAAGCCAAGAGAGTATTCAGGTTGATTGTCAATCAGGATTTAGAAAAGACCATAACATTGAAGAAGCAATTATAAAATGTAGGAAATAATACAGCAGAAGTACTAGATAAAGGTTTTCTGACTGCTGGTTGTGTTCACAGATTCAAACAAATTTCCTGACAACTTTGGCCAAGCCTGTCTATTTGTGAGCTGAAGAAATACATTTTCAGTTCACCTTCATTAACCACTTCACACCGATGTTGTCATTTCCATGTACTTTAGTACATTGGGTATTTCTGTTTCTTTCATGAGACAATAAGCATGGTTTTAAATATGTGCATTAAAGTACATTAAAAATGTCAGTTTTACTGTACTTATCTGAAGCCGATTTTGATTTTATTATTTGTGTTTTTAATTAATGACTAGCACATTCAGATTGGCATAGACACATCACAAGACTGCTAATAGAATTGTACCCTTGGATACTGTTACTTTATTTGTCTCCAAGGCAGCAAAACACTTGATTATTAATTTTGCTAGTTAATGTCTTCTTTGTACAGTATATCAAAATGTTATAAATGTTATGTTAAATATTCCACATATTACAAATGTAAAGGCTTTTTATATAATGGATACTGTTTTCCTGTGTTATATGCACATACAGTATTACAGTACCTGTTGATAACTTTTTAAACATGGTACTGTACCTTTTAATCGATTTAATTAATTTTAACCTTGACAAAATAATAAAAGTTATTATAATGAATTGTAGATTATACTGTATACAGTGCCTTACAAAAATGTTCTTCCCCTTGAAACTGTCCTATTTTGTTGAATTACAAGTGAAGTATACAGGTTTTTAATTTAAAGAATGAGTTAAAAACCTAAATCTATGTGGATTCCATAAATTACAGTTCTTTTCAGATACGGCTACTTTGAAGAATTGGACATTGCAATTTTTACCCACCCATTGTTTTTTTGTATACTTCAAGCTCTCTCCATTTGTTTGGGGATTGTTGATGGACAGCAGTGTCAAAGTCTGGTCACAAATTTTACATTGGATCCAAGTCAGGACTTTGACTGTGCCATTCAAAGGCATTTTACTTTTTTCTTATTAAGCCACTACAGTGTAGCTTCAGCCTTGTGTTGAAAAGGGAATTTTCATTCCAATTTTAGGTCTTTATCAGATTTAAGCAGATTTTCCTCTAAGATTTGTCTGCACAGTGCTTCACCCATTTTCCCCTCAATCTCGGAAAGCTTCACAGTTCTTGCTGATAAGAAGCAGCTACCATCATGTTTGGCAGTATCGATGGTGCTTACCGAGTGATGTGCTTTGTCACGTTTTGGTCAGATGTAACACTATATTTAGACCAAGAGGATCCAAGTTTGTCTCATCCAACCATAAAAACCTTTGCCTCTGCAATATCACTTTGTGTTCCATTTTTGATCTAATGCTCATTCTGGAGGGACAGCCTGATTTAGGCAGCTGTGAGGTGCAATACACTTTATTCACTTCTTAGTGATTGACTCAACCATGTTCAAAAGGAGACTCAGTGTCGCGGTTTATACAGTAACATTCTCCTGATCTGCACTTTTCTACAAGACTATCCCTGAATTGTTTTAAAGCTCCTTTGTCTTCTTGGTTGAGTCTTTGCTGAAAGTTACCACCCACCATACTGAATGATCTTGCACAGACAGATGCAGAGCCTGGGATCCAGTTATTACACACAGACAGAGGCCATTAAACTAATTGTGCAAAGGTTCTGCACCAGAACCAATTATTTTCAACATAGCAAAAGGGTACATTGTTGTTGTTTTTATTTCAGTTTTTACTGATTTTTAATAAGTTTTTATCGAGATTTATTTTTTCTTGTATACCTACTGTGTAAGTTTTTCAGTTTGAGCATTCAGGTCTTCGTTAAAAATACTCACTTTAAAAATTCATATATTTTGTTTGTAGTTCAACAAAATGGGACATCACCAGAGGGGGATGAATACTTTTATAAGATAATGTACTTTACAGTATACTGGTGTTAAGTGGGCTATTTTATTTTACAGACTAG